ATTGTATTTGCAGGCTCTGGCCACTGCTAAGGCCAGAGCTTCGTATGGGCGCTCTCTTGGGACTGGGTTCCTCTCCGGCCGCCCTGAATCAGGGCGGCCTTTGAGGGAACCAGCCCCAAGGATTGTTTGCGAAGCTCTGGCATTTCCTGAGACCAGAGCCTATGAATTTCATTCAGAGCCAAGTTCCTCTCGGATCGAATCTAATGAGGACGACCGTCTAGGAACTTGGCTCTAAGGAGATCAATTGTGAGCTCTGGCCTCGATGAAGGCCAGAGTTTTCAAGGGAATGTTTTGATGGGATGAGTCTATTATCAGTAAGCTCGCCCCATCAAAACATTCATTTAAAAATTGAATGAATAATTATCGCATGTATTCAAAAATTAAAAATTTAAAGATGAATAAAATTATAATACATATGAAAGAGAATTAAATTACATTGAAATTGGATAAAAATTTCCAAAAAAAATTCAAAAAACTGAAAATAAAAAGAAAAAATACAAAATTTGATAAGAAAAAACGATTTGTTTTAAAAAACGTTTCTGCAAAACATGAAGATTTATGATTTAGATTAAATTGTGAATAAAATTTACTAGTTTATAGAAGAATGAGAAAATTAGATTATATTGTAAAGAAGATACTTTAGAAAGGAGTTTACGATTGAAATATTATATGGTATAACATTGTACTCGTACCCTCCTTTCGATAATCTGATTTCTAATGCAACATTGAGATATGAAAAAATCAGCTTTCTTCGAAAGGGGTTTATAATTGCAATATAATATGACAGTATATTGCAAATGTAAACTCCTTTCGGGAATCAAAAGTCTAATGTCACATTGCGGAACAAAAGTGAGAGATTATCCCGATCTGAGTACGTACTTGCAGGGTGCCATTGCAAGACCCTGCAAATATGTACTCAGATCGGAAAATTTGTTCCCAATGTCACATTGCGGAACAAAAGTGAGAGATTATCCAGCTCTGAGTACGTACTTGCAGGAACCGAGACATATAGTATGCAACAAATGCTTTTATTAACTTATTTACACTCATTTAATTATATTCAAACTTCAATCTTGATTATATTTCATATTTCTGAGCAACCATAGAGCACCCACTCATAATTATAAAGATTACCAATCCAAACCATATAAAAACACAATTTTTAAAAAGTTATTATTATTCAACTTCTTGTGATACGGTATTTTGATTAGATTTCGTAAATTAATGTAAAACAAGTACATATCTATCATGAGCAATCATACGATTATCTAATCAATATTATTGCTTCCCATGCTAATTCAATTGAGATTATCTTGACATTAAACTTAAAATCCTCTCAAATTCAAGGAGATAATCACAATGCAGCTATATTTTAATGCTGCAGTATAGCGAAAGCTCTATGATTATTATAAACTAATAATACCATATGAGTACGAAAACTGGAAAAAAAATTGAGAGGGTGTACGAAAAAAAAAAGTCTGCTTTTCATATAGTTTCTTTCATTAAAATAGAACACTTGAAAAACATGCTTGTTTATAGCATTTCCCACTAAAAAAGACAACTTGTATTAACAATAGGACTTATTATTGTTTTCTTTGAGAAAGGGACAAACTATCCAGTGTCACTTTTCAAAGGAATAAAAAAAATAATAAAGATGAAATAATAACATGAAATCTTATATAAAATATAATTTTATCTAAATAGATAAATGAATTAAGCAGTTTACAGTTATATATATTTAATGAGAGACAATATCTAGTTCTATGGTAGAAATGACTCTTAGACTCAAATAAGTAACACAGATAGAAAGTACTCAGTATAACAATTATATATGTACACTCAAAGTTAGTCGCTGCTAAAATCTTAACCTTGCATTTCGGGAAAATCTGACTAATGGCTCTTAGACTCAAATAAGTAACTCAGATAGAAAGTACTCAGTATAACAATTATATATGTACACTCAAAGTTAGTCGCTGCTAAAATCTTAACCTTGCATTTCGGGAAAATCTGACTAATGGCTCTTAGACTCAAATAAGTAACACAGATAGAAAGTACTCAGTATAACAATTATATATGTACACTCAAAGTTAGTCGCTGCTAAAATCTTAACCTTGCATTTCGGGAAAATCTGACTAATGGCTCTTAGACTCAAATAAGTAACACAGATAGAAAGTACTCAGTATAACAATTATATATGTACACTCAAAGTTAGTCGCTGCTAAAATCTTAACCTTGCATTTCGGGAAAATCTGACAAATGGCTCTTAGACTTGTTTTGATAATTAATTCTTCAATTATATTATAATTTATAACAAATTTCCTCAAACTATCTGTATGTCATTCAATTCCCGGCCACTACATTCAATGATGGACCATTTCCTTCAAATTTTGAAATACCTTATTCAATTTGTTGTATGGAGCCCGTGATATTCAACACTATGGAGCTCCTCCAGTTTGGTATCCAAGAAGAGATAAAAGCTAGCATGGGCTACTCTCAAAAATGCAGGAAAGAATACTCCACGATCGAATACAAATGTAAGTATCCACAATGTCAAGCTAAATTCAAAGTCCGGATAATAGATCAAGATAAATATGAACTACTAATCCACTCTGACTCTCATGATCATTCTGCACCTCCGAAATCAACAAAAACAATATCCTCATTATTTGTCAGAAATTATCTTAAACATTACTTTGAAAACAATATGAATCATGCTACAGCTCAACTTAAGTGTTTCCAAGACTTAAATATTTCATATACAGACGAAGAGTTACTTTCAATATTTGCACAAGGTCCAGATGCATTACGTAAATTTGCTCAAAGAGCTGAAATTGTTTCCAAACGCTTTAGTTCGGATGAAAAAGTTTCTTTAGCTATCTTTGTCGAATCTGTTCAAGAAAGTTGTCCAGAAGATTTAATTGAATTTATCTCTGAGCCGGGAAAACTAGTTTTTTTATATGCACCTTTCGAAGCGAAGGCCCTTGGTCACCAAATTTCTACGTTTCACATCGATTCAACGTATAAACTTCTAAGGGCTAACATTCCATTATATGCACTCACAGGAAAAACAGAACATACTATTGTTTTTCCTTTTTTGTATTTCTTTATTTCTCCTGACACAAGCGAAAATATTCAATATTGTGTTTGTCGTTATTTTCAATATATTAATAGAGAACCCGAGATGATAAGTATGGACTGCGCCCCACAAATAGCCGAGGCAATTGAGCGAGGTATTCCAAACTGTCATATTCTTTGGTGTGGCGTGCATGTCCTTCGCGCCATATTAAGAAAAGCGGATAAGTTTAAATCACGAGACAATTTTGAAGAATTTTATAATCTAATGAAATTATTAGTATTCGATACTAAAGAAGAATCTCCCGAGGAAGAACAGAACCAAGAAGAAGAAAATCCTAGGGAGGAACCAGCTCAATCTCACTTACTTCAAGCAGAAGAAATTGAAGAAAAGGAACAATATGAAGAAGAATTCATCGAAAATGAATTTCAACCTTCTCAAATCTTTTTACCACGAGAATCTTCTGATGATCCAAACGATTCTGAATTTATTCCAGAAGAAGAAACGTTTGAAACAAGTGAAGAAGTTCCAGAGCACCTCACTCAAGAAGAAGCTGCAGACCTAGATGCAGTTTATGATCGAATTCTTGAAATTCTTTCCACTGAACCGAAAGCCCAAAAGTACTTCGATAGGCAATGGAGGCATCATTTAGATCGTTGGAATAAGCGCTATCGCAACGGAGGTGACGCGACTAATAACGTCAGTGAGTCACATTTCAAAGTTCTCAAGCATTCTTATTTCCCAGAGAGAAGGAATATTCGATTAGACGATTTTGTTGTTGAATTATACACAACGGTTGTTCCAGCATTATTGATTAAATTTAAAGTTCAATTAATCAATAGTGATAAAGTTGTTCGTATATTACGAAAAGCTAATGACCATGAACAAATATTGGAAAACAAAAAAGTCGAGTGTTTGAAAATGCTTGAAGCAATATATTCAAGTTTGCAACAAGGATCAATAGATTCAAATCTTGTTTATTGTACTTTAAAGGTACTTTTAAAAAAGATACAATTAATGTAAAAGATTCAAATAATTTTTTATTATTATTTTATTAATTTTTTTAAATAAGGTTAATAAAAAAGTGACACTGGATAGTTTGTCCCACACTCGTTTTCTTTATGTCTGCATTTTTCGCAACAAATCAAATCTATCTTCCAATAAGTTACTCTTTTTATTTACAAACTTTCAAGATGATTGCACTATACCAAGAATGTTCAGAATTTCAAAGAGAACTCATGATAAATTCTAAAAATCATCTAACTTGATATTTATAGATATGAAATTAAATTCAATTTGATTCTAAATTATAATTGATTTATTCTCTGATCAAAGATATAACTTTATTCATTGAAAATATTCAAATATTTATGAAGTTTTGCTTTCTATTAGCAGAATTAGTTTTGATTTCAATTGGATTTATAACTTCATACAATTTTTGATCAAAAAATCCATAAGGAATACACAACATATCATGTCAGAATACTATTTCTTATACAGTCAAAATATAGTTCCCTCTTGTGTAAAGTATTCAATTTATACTTCCCCGTTGTCAAAAATCTTCTCTTTTTTTTAGATTTCTTCCTAATGTTATGTGTTGAAGCACACAATGAAGGTCTACAGACAATACGTGTCAGTGCCATTCCAAGTTTCAACCCAAAAACAAAGTCAACATTAGAAAAATTGATAATGAACAAAAATGCTCTTCTTTGTGTAAAGAGAAAGTCACAAACTGTCATTGATTAGTTCTTTTTATATTCTAACAAACAGTATAGTCAATCACATTTCCGATTTCGTTGAAATTTTATTGAGATCATCAGATGAATCTTTGAAAGAGAAAGCAATTGGCATCGTAGCATGCAAAAATAAGAAGATATTGCTAGAGTTGTCATCTCAATTTGGCAAAATAGAGGAGTATTTCAATGAAATGGAGAAATCACAAGAAAACTTCAGAGATTTCATCAACATCATGGAAGCATTGATAACAACACATCCAGACACACTAGAAAAATGCAGAGACATCATCAAAGAACTAGTAAAATATCCGGAATTCCTTAATATTGTGGATTTCTTCGAAAATCTTGCAGAAGATCCATCAACAAAGAATAATCTTGGCTCAATATTATTATCAGAAGATGTTTTCAATGAATTTTTGTCAAAAATTCAAAAAATTTCTGATCAATCAAAAATTATTGGATTAATCAAGATTGTCACAGCAATTTATCATTGTAATAGTAATATAAGTCGTAAATTTGCTGGTAAATTGATTGATTTCGTAATTTTCTGCTTGAAATTTTCTGACAATCAAATTTTATGTCAAACTTACGTATTGGCAAGGAAAATGATCAATATCATTGCTGACAATGATGCTGCCTTCTGTAATTTGCTTGAAAAAGCGATGAATCTATTGAATAATTTTGATGATAAAATTTATGAGTATCAAGTAAGAGCATTAGATTATATTTGCAGCTGCTTTAAAGTAAACTTCGTGACATCATCAATGATGTATGATTCAATGAAAATTATGAAGAAATTGAAGGAAATAATTGAAAATTCAAAAAACAATTCTTTTCTTTTTTTGTCTTTGTTTAATTTTGCACGTGTTCTTTCAAATACAACGGAATATTCGGACGAAATCATTGGCGATTTCGTTTCTTTCCTTTTGGAAAAGTATTTGGAAGGGAACAGAACATTCTGCGCTTTCTGCAAGGACTTCTTTGTTTCGCTTCGTCGGTCTGTTTCAAATGATGAAATTTTTCAGAATTTGCTTGAAAAAGAAAAATTTAAGGGTTTCATCGAGATTTGCAACGAATACTCATCGTACATTGATACAATCAATTTGTATTTAACGATGAGATAACACAAAACTCTCTCTATCTCTTATTTTTCCTTTTGTTTTTCAAAAAAATGTTTTTTTGATAAAAATTTTTTTATTATTAAAAGTGACAATTTTACAAACAAGAAACAAACATTGATAAGACATTTCCATTCCGTTTGAATTAAAACCATTTTCATAAAGTAATTTAACATAATCAAGTGATAAGTTTGAAGCCAAGTTAATTGGAGTTCTAACAGTTTCATGACCTTCGCAATGCATTGCCCAATTTACATCTGCACCTTTCTTAAGAAGAATCTTTGTTAATTCCATGTTATTCGCTCTGATTGCTTCACACAAAGCTGAAGAATCTCTTTCAGCAAATTCTTTTGCAGTGTTATTGATATCAGCGCCATGTTTCAACAACAAAAGAGCCATTTCTTTATTACTATTTTTACAAGCCATTGTCAAAGCATTGAATTTTCCTTCTTTCACGTCATCTTTGTATTGGAACCTTTTGAAAAGTAATTTAACAAGTTCTAAGTTATTCATTCTTGCTGCGTAAAAGAAAGCTTTGCATAACTCATTGTCTTTCAAAGCAGAAGACCTATAAATACGAGGTTCTAATCCCCATTCATCTTCTTCATCAGAACCAATGTTTTCTCCTTTGATTGCAGGAGATTTCATAGTTTTCGGACCATTTTCGAATGCGTACTTAACAATTTCAGGTAAATCATATTTGCAGCATCATTGTATACTTTGTTATTCGCAAAAACCGTTGCAAATTCTAAATAATCCAAATTTAAGGTTAAGGATACCCTTACATTGCGTAGTTAGAAAGAGAATATGATATTGTCATGATTGCGAAAGTTTTAGGCTCCAGAAATGAATATACATCAAACTGAAACAATTGATAAATTGAATGAACTTTTGAGAGGTTCTCAAATAAAAAAAATTATCTCATTTTTTACAATATTACTATTATTTTATCCACATATGTATATATAGTAATTTGAGAAAACTTTTAGGAAAAAATAAGTTTAATAAAAATCTGAATTTTACTTGTTGTGGGATTGTTATTAATTGACACTCCAGACGTATTACTAATAGTTATGCGTATGCAATTAAAGTATTTCTGATGGACAAAATGTGAGATTTATATCAGATAATTCATTTCTACTATTAAGTTATTCATTTATGAGTTTGCACTTATTCGCACTAAATAAATAACTATTAAAAATTGTTTTAATTAATTGACACCATATAATAGAGTGAATTTTGTTTGATCAAACAACAATAGATGATAGATATAAAGCCAAGAAACTTGCTATTAATATGCTCTACTTGCTATTTCAATGTAAGTATGATATTTTCTAAATGTTTCGTTCAGATAACTTAGATATATTAGTCAAAATTTGAAATTTTAATAGCACATATATTAAAAATAATTATTATTCATAAAAGATTAATGAAATAGTAAAAAAAATCAATCAAATTATAAAAATACAACATTTAGAAGAATTCTTATTATCTTCAAAAAGTCAGTATTTCTGCTGTAATTTTCTACAACATTGTAGTTATTGCACTTTGTCTATGGATTTGTATATATGTTATATATAAATTATATATCTAAACTGCCCATAAGTGCAATTTTTATATAAATTGTTTATTTCTTTAACAATTTCATATAAAATATGCTTTTTAAGCGTATCAAAGCTGTGTTCTTAATGTGCATGGATATATCAAGAAAAATGTCGAAAAAAAATGTGAATTCACAAATTCACTGAATTTTCACCGTTTTTGAATTTTGCTACAGCACTAATATTAAATAATACTAAAATCTTCTGTCTTTGTAAAAGAATAAATTCTGACAAAAAGTGCTCGTTTAAATTTAATGATCATCTGTATGACTAAGTGGTAAAAAGTGTTTATGACCAAAAAAGGGTTACATGCTTAGTCTATTTTTCTGACAGGATACTCTAGATTTACATGATCTCTATTTCATATCTCCGTTTTTAGATTCTTCGACAGAAGGGGAGAGATATAGCATCGTGGAATTGTACAAATCTCTTTATGAAGGTGATGAGATAACCTTTGACTTGTGCATTGGTTCGAAACCATGCTTCAACAAAATAAGGACTTCACTATTTCAACGAAGTCATCTTTTGAACGTAAGTTAAAGTTCTAAACACTTACTTATTATTTTTCTTAGCTTCTTCCTCTTCTCTCAATTTCTTTGCAATCATTCGTGGATTCTTTGCGCGTCCAGCTGCTAATGCAGCTAATTGTTTCTCTGTGAGTTTACGCTTTGGTTTAGCTGGTTTCTCTTCTTGTGTTTGTTCTTTTGGTTTGAGTTCATTAAGTATTTCTTCACGAAGTTCATTCTTGAGTGCTTCTCTGTCGAAAGTATTCTCAGTCATTTTGTTAGGAGTAAAAAATTTTATTAGGATAGAAATGACGTCAAAACTTTCACCAAGTGAAAAGCAATCAATCATATTGAATGAAGCTAAAGGAATACAACATCCATTTATATTATGTTTGTCATATGAAGAATGGTTCAGTTCAAGTTAGAAAGAGAAGAGGCACCATTGAATTCACCAGCTCCTGCCCCAGCTCCTGTTGTTCAAGAAGCTCCTAAAGTTGATGAGAAGAAAGAAGAAGAACAAGCATATACTAATAAAATGTTGTTAGAGATGATGACAAAGATATTAGAACGTAACAGTGTAGTTAATGAACCAAACATGGACCCAATTGAACGTGAGAAGGAAACTAAAGAGAATCAAGAATATGTTCAATCAATGGAAGAGAAAAGAATACACTTCGATGATGAACCAGAGCCTGAACCAGAACCTCCTAACCTCAGCCACAAATAAGACGAATAATCCCAAGAATAAGAAGATTGTAAATTTTTTAAGCTGAGAAAGATGTTGAACGATAACCTCAATACATACAGTATTGCTGATTCCATCAGACAAGTAAGATATTATTTCGATCAAGTTGATGGGGCAGTTCCTATTGGAGATAACAACCATAGATATGTCCAACAAAAGTGCCAGCTATGCCGACAAATACTATTGATAACGGTTATATTACATTTAACATATCACCACCTGGTGAGAACATGATTGACTTATATAATACGTTCATTAGTGGTTATGTCGATGGTGAGTGCATAATTACAACAGAAACTGAACCAGCTGATGAAAAAGTTCCTAAATATGATGGTGAAGTATATAAAGAAAGAGCTGTTGAGACAGCTCCTACAGGATCAAATGTTACAGCAATTAAAGCAATTGATACTAAATATGCTGGTGGCAAATCATGTGCACATCTTCCAGCAATTTGGTTGGGATACATTGATTCATTCTATGCTGTTGAATCATATCAATTAATCGCTAATGGTAAAAGTGTTTATACACAAGATAATGCTAGAGAAGAAGGTTACATTACTTCTACTGCATCTACAACAAGAAGCTATAAGAAAGTTGATGTATTTAGTAAGGCTAGACATAAAGATGTTTTCAATAGATGTGATACAGTTCGTTCTGGACAGATTATTGAGTTCAATAAACCAATTAGTGGTGCAACTACATTAAAGTTCCACATACAATCAAGATTGACCTAAGAAGATTCCTAATACTTAATAACATTAGATTCCTTCAGCGTTTGCTGGTAACTTACAACTTAAGGTTAAGTTCAGTATTGCTGGTATGGTTTGGACACCATTAAGTTATCAGGATATTCTACCATTACCGAACATGCAAGCCAATGTTACAAGCTATATTCCAATCACTAATCACTTCACTCCTATCTATGAAGGTATCAAAGTTATTGATACTGTAACTTGGAATGCCGATAAGAGTACGATATCATTTGGTACCAAGTTTATTAAGTTCACTAAGAAGAATGCAAACTTCTTTGAAATGATTACATACTGTAACTCATTCTCTTTGGACCCTAACATCTATAGTGATTTGGTGACAAGATATTCGGCAAAGACTCTAAACTTCCCAATCAAAAGAATTGACTGCATTACTATGGATGGTTCAATGGCTAAAGGTGAAGGAACTCCTTGTACATTCACGGCAGCATTTACTCCATTATATGTGAACACCATTTATACACTATTTAAGAAAACACCTATTATACACTACCTATGAAAATCCATTGTTTGAACAAATTCAATTGAACTGTGGAGCATATGGTAACATACCCGCTGAGGCTCAAGCATCTAATGATCCAATCTTCTATGAGATGCAGGCAAATGCCACTAACAATAATAACGATACTGTTGGCTTCAACTATGATGTCATGAGGTCTATCACAACCACATCAGTCCCTCAATTTGGAATCGAGTCAAATGACTTAGGTCATTACCTATGTGGATTCCCTTGCGAAACTGATTATACATTCCAACAGGGTCAGTTATCTAATTCACCTATTACATATAAGCTTACAGTTAAGCCAACAGCAGAGTCTATTAAATATACTGAGAAACCAGTGTTATGCTTCTTACGTCACGTTTGCCTCTCCATACAGATTAAACCTGTGGGACCACCTATCGTACTTCTCGACGATTATGATTTATCAGCCCCTGCTAGTGAATAAAGGTTAGTTTACATATGAACGTTTATTTTTACACATATATGCGTACATATGCGCGCCCGTATGGTGTCAGTTTTCTGTCACTTTTTTCATTGTGTCGGTGCCTGTAGCTGTAGGCTACAGGCGACGCACAATGTATACTGTACTTATGATATTTACAAATATCAAGTTATCATGTTTTTTGAGAAATTATGAGAAACAAACAAAAATGAAAAAGATAGGAATAGCAATGAATAGTGATGTGGGTATAGAAAATGTAAGAGATATGAATGCAAAGCAATCAGTACTTAGGATATTGACCATAGATTTCGAAAAAAAAATGCTGCATATTGAGCGAAAACTATGATTATATTATAAGGCTGTCATTTAAAGCATAATGAAACTATTCCCTTTTCATTTTAATCGAATAAGATAGTAAAGATTTTTGAATTAGCTAGAAACTGATGAGATGTTTTCACAAATCAGATTTTTAATCTCTATAATGCATAATTCACTCAATATCTCAATTTTGATATTGCGAGATATTTTTGCTATCGGTTTCGCAATTTTGACATAATAGCAAGAGGGTTCTATAAGCATTATTATCAACGTAGAATCTGAATATCATATCAGAAAATGTCGCAAATCTGACATTTACCCGACCAAATAGCAAAAATAATTGAATACTTTTCGCAAAAACTTTAAAAATCGATAAAAATATGAAATATAGATATTAAAGAGACTTCTTATATAATATTCATAAAGATTTTCCAAAAATATGATACCGCAAAATTAAAAAAGTGACGTCTTGAGTGGAGTCAAAGGTCGAAATTGCTAGCTAAATGTTTTTTTAGCGAAATTGCGTATTGTACGTTTTTTTCGCAAAACGAAACCCTTACTTGAAATGTTAGTTGATTCCTATACTTAAATAATTCATAACTAAGTAGTTAATGTTGTAACTTATCATTTAATTTTCAATGCATTGAAAAATTTAAATATGATTTTGATATCACTAATTTTCTATATTAATTAAAAATATAATAAAATTTTCATAAAAAAATTTTCTCCATGTTCACAAAAGGAAAAAATATTTCAATGTAAAATTTCTTAAGTTGTATTATTTACTATGTAGATCATTTTTAGCATCAACATCCTGGCAAAACCGCAATTTGCCTTCGAATTGAGAGGAAACCGCTTTTGATTTGAGAACCCTAAATTTCAGTTTTGACATAAACTATGGCTGCGATCTTAATTGCCTGCGCAATTATCTCATGCCTTGCTAGTGCAGTAAAAATTGTTCAATCATTCAAGACAGAGGTTATCCAGAACCCAATCACATCTGGACATGGAAAAGGTTTCTGGGATTTCTGCTCATTCTCTAGTGTTGATTCAATGACAATTAGATACGAAAGAGGACCAAATTACGTTAATAACTATCTTATACCGTCTGTAATTGGCAAGTCCAAGTGCAAGAAGGTTGTTGAGAACAAGCAAGAAATTGTTGACTATCTCAATGCTCTTGTTGACAATGAGGGTTACGAGTTCGAAGCAGCTTCTAAGTCTCTTACAGCTATTGTTTACAACAAGGCCACACTTGAAATGTTCATGTGGATTTACACCTTCACACCAGTCACCATCAACCAGAAGAGTGCTCTCCGTATCGAGTCCATGCGCTTAGAACTCTATGGCTGCAGACTCGCCGCCGACTGGACATTATACAACACAGTTACATCCTCCATGTTGAAGATGAAGAACGTTGTTGAAGTTCAGTACAAGGATGCTGCTATCTCACCAGACAAGATTGTCGATGCTATGGCTATTGCTTTCGCTCCAGTCTACTTCGGCATCATCAGAGTTCCATCTGGCTTCCTCGATGTCCTTAAGGATGCTGTTAAGAAGTCCATCGACACACCAACAGAACTTCCAGGCTCTTACACACCAGAGCAGATGAAGTACTCCGAGGCTCAGTACAACGCCATGATCGAGCGCCAGAAGCAGCGTGATGCCCAGGCAATCGAGGGCATCAAGGAGATCGGCGATGCAGTCGCTAAATTAGGTAAGTAAATAAATTCACAAATATTCTTTTGACCAAATAAAGTATTTACTTTTATTTGTCAGTATAGTAATTGAAAAATCTCTTTTTCAATGAGTTCTCCGAAAGAGTTCATCTAAAAGAGAGAGTTTTCGAAATATTTCTGATCATCGTTTTCATTATTTTTGATATTTACACTAGAAAATGATTAAACTCAATGAATAAAAGCGAAATATCATAGATTTACTTTAAAATTATTTTCCAAAAAAATTTGAAAAATAATTTTATATCCCAAAATTTCTAGAAAATGATGATTAAAAACTGAATTTCGAAATAGTTTAGTCGGTTTTTGCATTTTTAAAATGTTAGTCACCTTTCTCCTTCCAAAGTGAAAAAAAATTGTTGAAAATATAAAAAGAATTTTTATTCGCATAGGCGACAAACAAGGATTTATAAATAAATAATGGGGCTTTGAGTATTGATCTGAATTGAATCAGATAATTAGCCGTAAAAAATTTTCTAATAACGATTTCTCATGCATGAAAGATGGCTATGAGTGGCGTTAATGAGGGCGTTTGATAATTGGAGTTGGACATAAAATTTGGAGATCTTAATTTTTGAGAATTTTGGTGCGATCTTACTGGTACAAGCAAGAGTATGGAAGGAGATTGAACTGAGAAAAAAACTAGAGCATGCAAAAGAATCATGCTACAGCTTAGTTGAATGTCATTTATGCAAATATAAATATCTTTTTCAAATTTCAAACAAATTTTTGCCACTTTTTGAAAGAAGATAAGGTAACAAACATTTTAAAATGCAAAACCTAGACTTAAACTATGCCGAAATGTGACTAACATTTAGGAAAAATTTTTGGAAATTAAATAATCAAACATTCATCATAAATCTTGTTTTTAAACAATATCTTCTCAAAATAATCATATTACAACTAAATTTCAATATTTTTTAATTTGTTGCTCTATTTTTTATTGATTTTATTTCATTTTCCTTAGTATTTCTATATTCTTAGAGTATTGTCTAGTTTTAACTAAAATCATGCAAATCATGACCGACACTTTTACGATAATTGTAAAATGTCTCGTGTGTTGAAACTTGAAGATCCACAAGGAGAGAATGAACCACTCGAAACACCATGTTTTGTTGTTCCAACAGAAATGGGTCTAATTCCAAACATTACACCAGATTTATCCGATAACTTTCCACTATTTTACTACGCAGGTGATTTTTATAAAGCAGCACTTCCAAAATCAGTAAAAGCCAGTGATGCCCTCGGATTTACAAAGCGCTGGATATTCTTTGGCCCAGCTGCAGACTTCTACAACTTCGATGAAGGACCAAGTAAAAAAGGAGTTCGTTTATATCAGCGCAACAGTAATCTAATCGTTGTTAGTAAGGAAGATTATGAAAATATGGTCAATTATGTTAAGCCACAAGGTACTGTTTCTTTATATTCACATCTTCAAGACAACACAACAGGCAGACAGAAGAATTTGAGAACAACAACAAACAAAGAATTCGCAACAGAATATCCAAAGACTCTCAACTTTACAGTTGCTACAGCAGAAAAACCAGAAACTGGATTTTTCGCTCAATATCCTATTTTCTCTGAGAAAGAAGCAGAAGCAGTCAAAGAGATATTAGCTACTAGGAACCAAGATGCCCCTAGAATGCTCTATTGCGATGGACATCCAACAGATATTCGCCGCGCGATTGATACAGGTTTTGACATCATTGTTGCTCAATATCCTACATATATGGCTACACACGGCTACGCTCTGAACTTTGATTTCGAGCGCGGTAAAGAAGGAGAGAGTTTAGGCCTAGATTTAAGATCAAGAGAGTTTGAACACGACCACAGACCACTTGTCGAAGGATGTGACTGCATATGCTGCAGAAACCACTCCAGATCTTATTTACACCATCTTTTGAACGTTCATGAGATTTTGGGCCAAGTTTTCCTTTCACAGCACAATTTGTATCACTACAGAAGATTTTTCGAATACATCCGTAAGGAACTTTCACAATAGAAAATAAAATACCCAGATTTTCCTTACTTTTACCACTCCCCATGTAATTTCTGGGGAAAACGATAATTCATTTTTTTATGGATGAATAGATCGTTTTCCTAGAAAGGACCTCATATCTCTGGCTAAAAAGAGTGTCAGATCCTAAATAGATTATTGATCTAGTGTACAAATCCAATAAAAAGCCTATTTTTTTGGCTTTTTTGGTGCTCATTTTTTCGAAGATCTACATGAATATGGGGAAACCATCGGATTTTTTTGGTTAACCCACATCTTCATGTAGTCTGGACTATCTTTCCTCGAAGGACCTCTTTACGGGTGTAAAAACTCATAAAGTTCTCAAAAGATTCATTCTCGATCTCCATGCTGAAAGAATTTACAATAAAAAAGAGATCTACGCATCAAACTACAGCCATAAATGAACTGAACCCCTAAAGCTCAGCTCTTAGTTTATCAAAAACGTCGAAATCCTTCTCATTGCAATCAAATTTTCTCAATAACTCATAAGAAAAATCGAATTTTGATTAAGCCGATGTTATAGGTATCACAAATACTACAAACTTGAGCAATATCGAAATTGCCAGCAAAAGTTTGAAATTGCATTGCTCATATTTGTTTTGTAAACTAAAAATCTGCTTATATTATTCATTAATTTTTTATATATTATTCATATACTTTAATAAAAACAATACTATTTCACCTTAAAAATGAATTTCATAAGTCAATATTATTTTTTTGAAAATGTATCAATTTTCGATTAAAACAACATGAGAATAAAATTTACGCAAAATTATTTTAAAAAATGGTTTTAAAAATTTACAATTGATTAAGAATAAGATTGCAAGAAGTTTTGAAGTTTAATTTTAAGAAAAAAAAATTCGGATATTATTCATGGAATCTAAGTAATCTGATATTTGAGTATCGGCACTATGCATAAAACATATATTTATAGTTTTTTTGGATTTTTATGATTTTAAATATATTCAAATTTGGCAATCCAATAGATTTTTAAAAAATAGGTAAATAAAAATAGATTACATATGCAGCAGATTTAGAACATGAAACAAATCTTATAGTGACCCAAAAAAAAATTCATGATCCAAAAAAGAAAAAAATTGGCTAAATGGGAATCAAACCTTGGCAAAATAAATCATTATGTCGGATGTTTCCACTACACTACACCGGCAGTTCCAAAAATCTCCTTGGTGGTTCTATTTAATAGCTACTCCCAACGATAGGCGGTGTCCCCAGCTTTAGAGGGGTGGTAAAAGTAAGGAAAATCTGGGTATGTTATTTTTATATTTTTTTAAAGGTACAACCACTTCTTTAACGTTATTTTTTAGATACGAAAGCTATCTTTACTCAGATTTATTGTCTGAACTACTGATTTTGAATCAACTAAAAATTGAATTTACGTAAAGTCTCCCTATGGTTTTTCTGCCTCAATGTTGAGTCAACCTCTATCAAAAATTTGAATAAGAGACTTTACGAATGAAAAGAAGTCTATATTATATTTTTTCTTCGTCATCTGAATCAAAATTCTATAGACGGAATTTCCCAATTCCATGACGAAAAACCTTTAGATGCCCTGTAGAATCTGCATAACAAAATTAAAATAAAAACTATATATATATCAATGGAAGTTTAGTCTGTATTTCATCGATTAAATATTCATCAGGTTTTTGTATAAAGAAAGTTAAAATTACATGTTTATTTCTATATTTAAAAAAAAAGAAAAATTAATATTAAGCTAAAAGTGATCCAGGCAAAGGTGGTATTACCATATGTCCAGATGGTATATTCACAGAGTTCCTTTTACTCTTTTGTGTCTGTGTTAAAATAAGTCTTGGAAATGCTGAAGTTTGTGTTATATCTGTCGATGATCTTCTGTTGGCTTTGATCAGTTCACCAACCGTCGCTCTTCTTGGCCGGCACTGTGGCTTCAAAGGTGATGTAAAGTGCTTATTAAAGGTATATGGCATTCTTTCTGTAAGATCTACGAATCTGTATGTTACAAAGTCTTTCTTTATCTGTTCTAGAGCATCATACTTGATTGGCTTCATTGAAGTTCCGAAGATTTCAATGACACCCATTGTATTTCGAGTAGAATGAGAATAACAGCTGGATGAGAATACTGTCATCACGCATCCGTTGAAACTGTTCTGAATGGCGTTCACACATTGATGAGAACGAATAATATGTTTCAAATTATTTTGTTTCAAGAAAGTGTGAGCGGCTAAGGCACCAAACAGATATCCAAATCCTCTGTAGTTCTTTAAAAAAGTAATCTCGGCTTCTCCAGGATCACTCCAGAGAAGATCTGGAACAAAGCTCTTCGAATATTGCTCAAAGCATGAATATATTGGTCTAGGAATGACTTCTATCTCTTTCACATAGTTAAGCAATGGACTAATGCCACCACGGACTAAGAAAAATGTATCATTCAAAATTCCTGCAAGAGGTAGATATGCAAAGCATTCATTGAAATGGTTATACATAGCTTCATCATACACTTCTAATACTTGGTTCTTAAATCCATACACTGAATTAGTTTGTTCAAATTCATGATTTCCTCTGATCATGTATATGCATTCTGGATAGATAAGTTTGAAAGAAAACAGAAGAGTAAGTACTTCAACTGAAAAATCACCTCTATCGACATAATCCCCAAGAAAAATGTATTTCCTTGATGGTGGAATTCCATTTGTTGCTATGATCCTTAACAAATCACGTAAATTACCATGAAGATCACCCACAATAACGAAATCACCAGTTAATCTAAGTAAAGTTGGCTCTTGAGATAATGATACTTTTGCAGCGGCGACTAAATTATATAGGTCTTCATCTTTGAGCTTTGGAATATCTGTATTTGTTTGTGCAAGATACTCAGGCATATTTTCGGTTAGAAATGGTTGATAAGCATTAAGGATCGCATTAGCTAGCATCAAAAAATGAAAAATTTTCGCTAAATAATATTCTCATATGTGTATATTGGAACAGAATTAATATATGATTAACCAAATTTGAACGATGGTTTTCAAACTGAATATTTCAATAGAGATTCAGAATTTTTCTCCAATATTGGAAAATAGTATTATATAATATATAATGTAAGAATAGGAGCTTTTGTTTTGAGGCTGATAAATAGGAGCTTTACAAGTAATTCAATTTTTGTAAAAATAATATTAATTTCTATAGTGTAGTTTAAATTAAAAAGCCGCTACTTTTTTTCAGAAAAAATAATCACCTCATTTATCTTAAGATTATATCCAATTGTACATTTATATTATTTTTTTGTTTTTATTAAAATTTTATTCTTCAGAAATTCTTTTCAATTTTTCCCCACTTTTGTTCGAAAACAAAGCGGTGAAATGATTATTTTCATCGAATTTAAATTAGATATTTTTAGAAAAAAAGATAGGAAATTTACCTTTTTTTTTGAAACTTGGTCATTTAATTCAAAAAATGTTATAGACCGAAAATAGATTTTTTCGGTTTTCTCTTCAAATAATTGAAAGAATGATACTATTATAGGTTTATTATATTATATAGCATATAATCATGCTATAGCCGAAAACTATAAGTTTTGAGAAGATTGAATATAACACAAATAAATACGAATGTAAGTTAAATTGCTTGTTGTTTTTAATAGCTATTTAATGAGAAATCCAATATTGCAAAATTCAAATTGAATGATTGAAAGAACAGAAAAAGTCATTCTTTTCAATTTCGAATATGTTTCATTGTATTTATAATTATATGGCAAATAAGATATTTAAACTTGATTTTTGAAGGAAAATTCACAAAATTGAATAAATTCAAATAATTTTTATTCAAAAATAAACTAGTTATTTGAGTTTACTACTAATTATCTATTCAAACTACAAAGTTTGTAATTTAAAATATTTTGTGAGATCAGATTGAATTAATTCAAGGTTCTTTACAATTAATATTAATGACCATATTACGCATTTTCGAACATTCTAAACCAAATATATAAAAATGGGAGACGAATGTTAAATTTGCTAGACATGGGGGAGTTGTCTGCAAAGTTTTAGCTCTTATCTCTAACAAAAAATTAATTTTTTAAAAAATGACCGAATACGTTTCACAGCGAGAAAAAAATAAAAGGCAAGATAGAATTTTCTAGACATAAAGAAGTTGTTTACCGAGTTTTAGCTCTTATCTCTAACAAAAAATTAATTTTTAAAAAAATGACCGAATACGTTTCACAGCGAGAAAAAAATAAAAGGCAAGATAGAATTTTCTAGACATAAAGAAGTTGTTTACCGAGTTTTAGCTCTTATCTCTAACAAAAAATTAATTTTTAAAAAAATGACCGAATACGTTTCACAGCGAGAAAAAAATAAAACTGTACACTGATTTTAATTTTCATTTCCAGTCACTTTACTTATTATTTTTTCTTTTTTTCATTTTAATTATAAATTATTTCATAATACGTTTATTTACGTTACCATTTTCTTTATTCTTTTGAATTCCATACTAGACACTTATAGAATATTTTGATTGTTAACGTACTTCATTAGAATGAATCCTTACAAAGGGTATGTCGATCGAATTTACCTAATTGGTATTTCCAATCAGATTGAAGAAGGTAAAATGACATGCGAAGAAGCTTGCACCCATGTTCCCATCGCCCCAACCCTTCAATCAAATGATTTAAAATATTTAGATGTTTCAAAATCTTTTTTACAAAATCAATTTAGCTTACAGAATATCCCATTGCCTAAAGGCAAGAAAGGTCGTAGGGTCAATCCCTACGACCAAATCAAAGCTCTTGCTGTGATACATGACCACTGGGTCTTTCCCTGTGGTCAAACAAAACAATGGAAACGTTTGAAATTACAACAAATTGATGTATCTTATAGAGAAGTACGCAGATACTTCAAAGAAAATCATTTCACCAAGACGCGATTAGAGCATGCCGGGCCAGAAACAGCAGTAAGATATTGGGCGCTTTCACCCAATCTTATCTGGCACGCAGATGTTCATTATTTTAGGGGTGTTCGTGGCCAGTATATTTATGGCATAATCGACGATTTTAGCCGCAAAGTCCTAGCGTGTATACAAATACCAGATATGCTGGCAGCGACGACAGCGAACGTTGCGGCTTCCGCCTTCATTGAATTTGGCGCCCCTTATTGTTTCTGGACCGACAACGGTTCAGAAAATAGGGGCGCCTTTCAAGATCTACTTGATCTTTGGGGCGTCCAATGGCGGCATACAGACTCTCATTCTCCCTACCAAAATGGGAAGATTGAGAGATTCTGGCCGACATTGGAGCGCTGCCAAAGCATTCAGGCTATTCCTGCCTTTATTTGGGAGTACAATAATAACACACCGCATGAAGATCTCCCAATTAATCCATTAACTGGAACAAATTACACGCCAAATCAAATGTATCAGCTGAAACCGAAATACACAAATGCAGATACAGAAAGGTTGTGGCAAATATGGGATACAGATACAGGCATGACCGCTGTTGACACATTCACAGCGTAATAATAAACATAATTTTTTAATTTCATTTTTAACAAGTTTTTTTAAATGTATGTAATGAATAATTCATTAGAATATGATAATGCATATTGTAACAGAATAGAACAATCACCAAAATTTTTTTTTTTGAAATTAAAAAATAAAAGTAAAAAGTATAAAGTAATCTAACCAAAAAAGATATTTAAAAGAATTTTGGAAAAAACAGAATAAGGATAATGATATTATTTTAGATACACAATCGATGTACTGAAGAATAATCCGGTAAAATGATGATATAAAATTAGATTATTTTACAAGTAGCTAAAAGAATAAAACTATAATATAAATAAATGAAGTTTAATGAAACAATAAAGGTTAAATAAATAATAAAGATTTTTATTTTATATCAGTATTGAGAAGAAGTAACAGCTGACACTTGGTAGACAACTTCTTTATGTCTAGAAAATTCTATCTTGCCTTTTATTTTTTTCTCGCTGTGAAACGTATTCGGTCATTTTTTTAAAAATTAATTTTTTGTTAGAGATAAGAGCTAAAACTCGGTAAACAACTTCTTTATGTCTAGAAAATTCTATCTTGCCTTTTATTTTTTTCTCGCTGTGAAACGTATTCGGTCATTTTTTAAAAAATTAATTTTTTGTTAGAGATAAGAGCTAAAACTTTGCAGACAACTCCCCCATGTCTAGCAAATTTAACATTCGTCTCCCATTTTTATATATTTGGTTTAGAATGTTCGAAAATGCGTAATATGGTCATTAATATTAATTGAAAAGAACCTTGAATTAATTCAATCTGATCTCACAAAATATTTTAAATTACAAACTTTGTAGTTTGAATAGATAATTAGTATTAAACTCAAATAACTAGTTTATTTTTGAATAAAAATTATTTGAATTTATTCAATTTTGTGAATTTTCCTTCAAAAATCAAGTTTAAATATCTTATTTGCCATATAATTATAAATACAATGAAACATATTCGAAATTGAAAAGAATGACTTTTTCTGTTCTTTCAATCATTCAATTTGAATTTTGCAATATTGGATTTCTCATTAAATAGCTATTAAAAACAACAAGCAATTTAACTTACATTCGTATTTATTTGTGTTATATTCAATCTTCTCAAAACTTATAGTTTTCGGCTATAGCATGATTATATGCTATATAATATAATAAACCTATAATAGTATCATTCTTTCAATTATTTGAAGAGAAAACCGAAAAAATCTATTTTCGGTCTATAACAATTTAATTCAAAAAATAATGAGTCAACTGTAATTGTAAAATCGTTACGCTGATGAATTCATGTTTTTTAGAACCAATAATTTTTTTCTGAATTTTCAATTCGGTTCACAAAAATCTTCTTGGTCAATCAGTTCTGGTTTTGGTATTTTGCAAAATATCACAAAACGAACCTGCAATTTCAATTGTCAACTTTCAAAACCATAATTCATTTGATAAGATCGATTTCAAAACAACACAGGAGAGAAAAATGTTTCTATTAGCATATGGTATTATTTTTTGAACAAAATAACAAAGAGAATTTTTTTGTAACTTATTTGAATTAAATCTGTGATTTCAAGTTACAACATCTCAGCATTTTAATAGACCCAAGTTGCCCTTTGTAATATTTCAAATGTTCAAAAATATTAAAAAATTGTCTTCTCATATATAGAGTATGCATATTTCTAATGCAATGATCGTTATATATTTCTAAACTTAGTCAATTTGGCATTGGAATTTTTGCTTCTTCTGCACTCAACAAGCAGGATCTTTCATTGATAACACTTGAATTGGAGATTTTCATTTGAAGAGATTGTATTAATAGGAGCACATTCATATATTAAAAGATTCCAACTAGATTTGCACTATATTGATGACTTTGGATTTCGATATTGGAAATCAACTTAGATTCTCGTTTAACTCTAAGCATAAACATACCTCTATATGATGAAGCTATCTGTGCCATTCATTTCCTCTCATACAAACTCATGCTGCCTGTTCCCAGAATTACCCTGGGTAGGTAAAGTAGGATAATTCAAATATTAAATCACTAACAATCATATTGAAGTATGCTTGGACAAAAGCACGAAAAATATGAACTACAAATTAGTCAAGTACTCCTCTAAGTTGAGTAATTACTCTGAAATCCTAAAATTATTGCATATTTTGATTGATTTTTTTAAAGAAAGTATTATAAATTAGATTTCATGATTGAAAACGGGAAATAAGGTAAAACCAAGAATAAGTCATTGCAGATAGCTATTTATATAAACAAATCAAAACCAAAAAAAATTTCATGCAAAAAAGTAAACCGCAGAAGGTTTTTGTTTCTGAGAACTTACATAAAAAGATTCCAAAATTATTCATCAATTATCATCGATACGAGTTTTGGGTGAACCTTACCATCGATCTTTTTTGATGGCATGAAATTAAGGCTTGTGTTCATTTTAGTAATTATTATTTTATGTTGTCTATGCTTTATTTATTTTTATTATTTTTAAGATGAAATATTTTATGCAATTTAAATCTTTTATTCATAATTCTATAAAACTGTATATATAAATCTGAATTGTGCAATATAGAGATCACAAAGATTTCAGATAGCCTTTTACTTTCCTCTAAGATATTTAACAACTTCAGGGTGACCTTTTTCTTGTGCAACAGAGAGTGGAGTCCAGCCATATGCATTCTTTGAATTCATTTCAACTCCTGCAGCTATAAGACATTTAACAACTTCAAGACTACCATGGTTGCATGCCCAAAGGAGTGAAGTCAATCCTTTTGAATCTTTTGCATTTTTATTAACTCCAATAGAGAGAAGATATTTAACAACTTCAAGACGATTAAAAATTGTTGCCCAAATGAGTGAAGTCTTACCTTCATAATCCTTTGCATCTTTATTAGCTCCAATAGAGATAAGATACTTAACAACATCAAGACGACCTTCTCTTGATGCATAAATGAGTGGAGTAAATTGCCATTTACTTTTTATTTCTTTATCGCAGCCACATTGAATCAGATATTTAACAAGTCTGAGATTTCCGCTTTCACTTGCATAATGAAAGATATTATTTTCATCATCAAATTTACCAAGTTTAGGAGATGTCTTTTTCCAAAGTCCCTCTTGATATGCTTTTAATATCATCTTTTGATTTCCTTGTGATGAAAGTTCATCGAAGAATTTGTATATATCATAAAACTTATCTGAATTCTTAAATTCCATAATTTTCTTTAGAATTTCTGCATCTTGATTTGTTTGTTGAGGCATTTGATTTGTTTGTTGAGGCATTTGATTTGTTTGTTGATTTATTTGATTTGTTTGTTGAGGCATTTGATTGATTTGTTTTGTGATTTGATTGAATTTTGTTTCTATGTCTTGGAGGTCTTTCTTTAATCGGGTATTATCTTCTTTAGTTTGATTAAGTTGTGTTTTAAGTGATTCGAGTTCTTGGTCACTTTTTTGCTTTTGATTTTGAACTGTTGATAATTCTGTTTGAAGTTGTTGTATTTTCGCTGCTGAATCAGAATTTTCTTTTTGTGTTTGCTTTAAAAAATTAATGACACCATTAAGGATTCTGATTTTCATGTATTTCTTGACTGATTTCAAAACTGAAACGACATCTTCATAATTTTGTATAGAAACCTTTGTATCTCGAGCACAAACATATAATTTGTTTGCTTTGATTGTAGAATGTGATTGCTTCATAAGAGTATTGAAATCATTTGCATTAAGAGTTGCGTATTTCAAGATTTCTTTGATATCATCGGTTTCGAATGTAGAAAATAACTTGTCTTCATCAATGTAATCTTTAATGTGGGCAGCTATGTATTCAAAATTTTGAACCAGCCCTTCACTCATTAATTTTAATTTTTTTTTTGAAAAAACAATAGAAATTAATTTGCTAAATTTTCTAGTGAAATAGTGATTGTAATATGATTCATTCATTCCTCCCATGTATACATATTGAAAATGATGATCACAAAGATTTCGATTAAAATTTGAGATTACAAGACATTTGAAATTCAGCTTGTAAAACTCTTTCAATTACATTGAAAGAACTTTGGTTAAATATATATATATAATGCTTAACATCTTTTATAGGAGCTTTATTTTTTTGAATCATGTGATATACGAAGTCTCCTACGATGTGGAGGATTAGGTCTGTATCTCGGATCCAAACGCGTTCTTCCACCATGCGAAACAAGAAATTGGAACAATTTCCCATTATACATTGCTCTATGAAGAGCGGTTTCTCCAATAATATTTTCTTCATTGATACTTATACCTTGTGATAAAAGAAATTCGACTATTTCTTGAGAAATCATTGCTGCATTAAAAAGAGCAGTTTCTCCATTTTCATCTTTTGCATTGATATTTGCACCAAGTGAAAGGAAATATTTGCAAAGTGATAGAATACCAAACGCTCCTGATTTAATAAAGCATTTGTTAACATTATTAGTTTGATCGAAATAAACAAAGAATGAATCAAGATTATTATATCTTGCGCAGAAATGCAACTTGATCTCTATATTGTATTCATTCATCAAGAATGTAACAAAATCAATGTTGCGTGAAATAATTGCATATTCCATGCAAAATCTATCTGGTGTTTGATATTTCAAACATTCACTTATGATCTCTGGATTTCCGCCTAAAAATGAAAATTGTAGACATTCTTGTGTTATTTCTGAATTAAATTTTGTTCTCAATAACTTGAAACAATCAACTGCTCCATGATAGCAACATAATTCAAGTAATGAATATCCTACATGAGAGTATGGATATAAATCGCTTTTAAGTTTTTGATTTTTATCAAAATCATCTCTTTCAGTGGATAAGATGAACCTTTCTTTGTCATTATACATAATAGCTCTGTAAATTGTATCTTCTGAATGAATATCCAGTTTTCCGAAGTTATATTTTTCGAAATTATCAGAATTGTTTAATTTAATTCCATATTCTTTATAAAACAAGTAGAAAGAAATAAGTTCCACTTTGCGGACATCTTCCACATGGAAATCATCATATATGAGCTTGGCAAGATATAAATAAGACTTTACATAGCGATTGTTATACGGTATGATATTTAAAATATCTTTGATTAGATTTTGAGGAAGATATATCTTTGAATCAATCAAATCTGTTTTGATCATTATGTAAATTTTGTTTAATTCTTCTTCATTTTCCGTTTTTAGCTGATACAAAGCATCATATGAATCTATGTAGTATTTGTAGGCGCTTCGCAACTCGTTGTATTTATTTTGATAAATGGTTTGAGCAGACATGATAAAAATTTAAAAATTACCAACAAAATAAAATAAAAAGTCATATATTTGCTTTTTACCATATAAAATATCTTTGAAATTTAGAAGCAGAAAGAAAAAAAGGAGGGAACTCATTTTTTAGACCAAAAAAGTGGCACCTGAGTATATTGTTTCTGCTTTATCTGATCATTAAAACGGAATTGATCCACGTTATTAGTATGAAACAATGATATACTAGGGACTAAAGAATATTAATATTACAAAAACCCAATTATTCGATGTTCAACTCATCATATCTTGCATTAAAGTTGATACCTTTATTTTTTCGAAATATTACAACAGTAGCAACCTTACGTATTACCAATGATAGCCAGAGTACTATTTTGGCATAAAAAATTTAAAACGATATTAAAACAACAGATTGACTAGTCATTCTGGTATAGTATCATGCATACTACCAGGTGATAAAATCTCAAATATCTTAGCTTAACTTCCGTTTGATTATGAGATACAGATCTAATGTTGCTTGTTTTGTAGCCATAGTCACTAACTAATAACATTATTATGATAAGAAGACTAAATGTGCGAGTTTAATATACATTTGATTCAGATTTATTATCGAAAATCAAATCACAATATATATCTTGAACTCATCTGTTAATAAAATCATGATATTATTGATTGTTTTCCAGATGTTTACAATATTTTCTAAACATGTGAATATAATCCTGAATTTGAACCAGAAAAAATAATTAATTACTAACAATGGATGGTTATCTATAAAGAATAATATATTATTTTTGATAGTAAACTATGACTGATTTATAATTTAGGAATATATACTTCTTTTCTATATCTTTGAAAAATAGTTATATGATTTTGCTGTATATGTGATATATTTTAGTAGAAATATTATAGAATAACAAAAATAAAGAGGTTTTATCGATTTATAATACAATGAAAATGGTTTATTTTTCTCTAAATTATAAATTTTCAAAAAAATTAACCTCATAGGCTTTTTCTAAAATGAAAAAAATTTGGAGAAATTCACCAAGGAGAACTTCATTCTAGGTGTCCAAAGCAATTCCTATCAGTCAAAAAAGCCTCGAAAATTTTAAATATTGATATCGATTTTCATCAATCACTTAAAATCGATTGTTTGTAGTCGATGTTATCACATATTATTAAATTCTAATATACTTGAACATACTACAAATTGTTTTTGAAACTTATCAACATTTCGCGCAATTTAACAATACTCCAACTCTCATACACAGTTCTCATTACCACAGTCTCATTTTAAGAAGAAATGATTAATAAAATCTAAGATCTAACGATTTAATTACCAATTCGAATAATATTTTTAATTATATAATACTTATTTGTGCATGTTTTTATATACAGATGTAGAAAGAAAAACGAATAAAGTGTTACTTCAGAAAAATACCTGAAAGCACCCTAATCATTAAACAATTTACTTTTTAGCATCGAATTTTGCTCGTCTTGAGCCATATTTTTCGTTTAATTTTCATAATACGATAATACATATGGGTTATCAAGTAAAGTATGGATATTTTAGAAGATGATAATATATCTCGAAATCAAACGAAAGTCATTCTATGAGTCCATACACACTATTACTATACTTCATATGTCAAGCATAATGGGAACAATTTTGGTCGATACCTTTGTTGTCGACGAAGTTCCCCCCTTTTGAAAGAAATGCTATATTATGCATGTGGAAAACAATGATCCCAAAGATTTCGATTAATGTAGAAGATTTTATTCAAAATATAATGTTGCATTAACTGCACGTAGTGTACTAGGTTCATTTTATACATATAATTTCACCTTGTGAATCCCTTTAATATTTTTTCACTCCCCATAATAAAAACCGAACAATAGCAAAATAACCGTAAAAAATCTATCAAAAATTTCATGAAATCATTTTATACATATCATACTCTACTTCCAATGTAGATGATAATTTCCAAGTGAGGACAGATTGGCAGTTTTCAATTTTTTTGGAAAATTCATTCATACATAACATATAATGAATTTAATTAATTCTCAGACCAAGCTTTTCAATTTTTCAATTGAGAGTATTCAAATAAATTGAAATAATTGCTATCAAAAATAATGTAAAAAAGTTAGTTCATTTATCCTTGACAATACTGTCTAAGCAAAATATCTAAAAATAGGAAAAAATTCGTTAGTAGTTTTTTAATTCACTCTTCATCAATGCGTGAAGTTATCTCTATCCACGTTGGACAGGCCGGTGTTCAAATCGGTAACGGCTGCTGGGAACTCTACTGCCTCGAGCACGGTATCCAGCCAGATGGCCAGCTCCCATCCGACAAGACAATCGGTGTCGAAGATGATGCTTTCAACACCTTCTTCTCCGAGACAGGCGCCGGCAAGCACGTCCCACGTGCTGTTTTCGTCGATCTTGAACCAACAGTCGTCGACGAAGTCCGCACAGGCACATACCGCCAGCTTTTCCACCCAGAGCAGCTCATCTCCGGCAAGGAAGATGCCGCTAACAACTACGCTCGTGGCCACTACACAGTTGGTAAGGAAATCATCGATCTCACACTCGACCGCATCCGTAAGCTTGCTGATCAGTGCACAGGTCTTCAGGGCTTCCTTATCTTCCACTCCTTCGGTGGTGGCACAGGTGCTGGCTTCGGCTCCCTCCTTCTCGAGCGTCTTTCTGTCGACTACGGCAAGAAGTCCAAGCTCGAATTCACAGTCTACCCATCTCCACAGGTTTCCACAGCCATCGTTGAGCCATACAACTCCATTCTCGCTACACACTCCATGATCGATCACTCCGACTGCGCTTTCATGGTCGATAACGAAGCTCTCTACGATCTCTGCCGCCGTGCCCTCGATATCGAGCGCCCAACATACACCAACCTCAACCGTCTCATCGGCCAGGTTGTTTCCTCCCTCACAGCCTCCCTCAGATTCGATGGTGCCCTCAACGTCGACTTCACAGAGTTCCAGACAAACCTTGTCCCATACGCTCGTATCCACTTCCCAATCTGCTCTTATGCTCCAGTCATTTCTGCAGAGAAGGCCTACCACGAGCAGCTCTCTGTTGCCGAAATCACAAACTCACTCTTCGAGCCAGCCAACATGATGGTTAAGTGCGACCCACGTCACGGCAAGTACATGGCTTGCACACTCCTTTACCGTGGTGATGTCGTTCCAAAGGATGTCTCCGCTGCTGTCGCAACAATCAAGACAAAGCGCACAATCCAGTTCGTCGACTGGTGCCCAACAGGCTTCAAGATGGGTATCAACTACCAGCCACCAACAGTCGTTCCAGGTGGCGACCTCGCAAAGGTCCAGCGCGCTGTCTGCATGCTCGCTAACACAACAGCCATCGCCGAAGCTTGGTCTCGCCTCGACCACAAGTTCGACCTCATGTACGCTAAGCGTGCTTTCGTCCACTGGTACGTCGGTGAGGGTATGGAAGAAGCTGAATTCCCAGAAGCTCGTGAAGATCTTGCCCTCCTCGAGAAGGACTACGACGAAGTCGCTGCTGAGTCAGTCGAAGGTGGCGATGAGGAAGAAGATGGTGGCGAAATGTAAATTCGCTAATTCCTAAAAAGGTATTTTTATATCTTATGACAAACAGATTCTTTTTTTTATCTCATAATTCAAAAAGAATTTTGATATGTTTTCTAAATAATTTTCAATTTTTACTGATAAGATAAATTCTTTTATTGCAAATGTCAAGGTCATTTGGCCGAGTGGTCTAAGGCGCCAGTTTAAGGCACTGGTCCGCGAGGGCCTGGGTTCGAACCCCAGAGTGACCATTTTTTGCATTTTTGGTCATCGATTTTGTCAATGAAATATGCATGACTTCTTTGATTCTCGAGAATATATCAATGAGATGCTATATTTTTCAGTAAAGAATTTAGTTCATTTGTTAATTCACTGAATAAATATAAACAAGAACGAGATTTGAATAACAATAGATGAAACAATTGCTATGTTTTCGATTTTTACATGTTCATCCTTCTGTAATAAACTAAGGAAGATCACCGATTATCCAATGATCGTGACTCTCGACATCAATGGTATTTGATTCAATAATGTATTGAATTTACCCCATCTTAGACGTGAGCACCATTGAAACTTGAATCAAGAAATCGTGTCCATCAGTTATTGAGGAGTTATCCAGTGGTTTCCCTATGTCCAGGCTCTCAAATTGAGCAAGTGACAAACATTTCAATGTTGAATTTAAGGGTGCACACGAGAGGATCATGTAAACTTCAGAATTTAGAACCTTATTTTTAGGCATTATCTTGGCTACCTATTTAGGCTCGAAAAGCAAAAAATATCAAAAAATACAACTTGACTCCATTATGACCCTTTCATGGAGGTAGTTTTTCTCCGCTAGTATTTTCCCTTTGAATCTCTTTACAATTCGAAATCAAATTCAAAACTCAGTAGAAGAAAGGAAGAATCGACTTACTACGGTTGTAATACGAATAAATACATATATTTAATTATTTTTATTTACATAATAATTGTTTGAAGCTCATATTCCATCAAATTTTTAAATAAAAACATTAAAATGTTGAAAATGTTCATATATTTTAATAGGGTTTTGGCACTTTATTGAGGAATTACTACATACATAGTCGAACTGAACTTGATATTTTGAAATTTAAATTATTTATCAAAATTAAAATTTAACTTGAAATTTATAATTATTTAGTCATATTTTGGATAATTCTAAGTAGATTTTGTAAAAAATCAAGAAAGAAAAATTTTAACGTGCTTTATTTTTTCTTTTTTATAATAATACATATTATTATATAATTAACATATTCATAATGTTTCACCCTTTCAAAAATATAATCCTCCTCCTCTCAAATAAACGTACATACGGGTGGCCTCTTTTTTCAAAAAATTAAAATTTGAAATTTTGGGCTCAAATATTAGAGATTTTTTCAACCTTCAACGATATATGTTGTCTATATCAGACCTCCTTTCTTTTTGATACTTAACATTGTTCCTAAATCTTAGCCGTTAAGGCTGTTCTGAAAATATTTTTTTTTCGAAAAAATTCGAAAAAAATTCTTAAAATTCAAAAATCCCTTAATTCCAGAGGATTTTGGGAAAAAGTTTTTACATGAACATGTGTATATTATATGAAGTATATTGATAAGGTAAAAATCAAATTTTATTGCATATTCATCGAGAAAATAAACTAACGAATCCCTCAAAATTGAGAGGGTAATCCTCCTCCTCTCAAATAAACGTACATACGGGTGCACCCTTAAAAGTTCAAAATATTAGAAAAAAAAATAATAAAAATATTTTACAAAAACAATTTGCAATTCTCGATTGCCTTAGCGTATCTTCCTTTCTTTTCCAATCCGTCTATCTGAGACATAACCTGCACAGCCTCGTTCATTGTCTTCTTGAACAGTTCTATCTGTTCTTTGATGGACTGAGGTAAATCAGCTGCTGGAGAATGAGATGAGCTGTGAATCAGCTGAGAAACAGTAGGAGTAAGAGCCGATTCAATTTTTGAGAAAAAAAAATAAACGTCACTTTTATATTCAAAAATAATGAACGATCAGGAGCAGCATTTCGATGAAGTATTTCCAAGCGGTGTTGTTATGAGATCGGGCTTGACCGACCGAATTGTCAACTCCAATATTTGCAACTTAGGAATCAATTCAGCAATTTGGAAATTTTTACTTTATATCTGTGGCCAAAGCGAAGATTCAGTTCTCACAGAAGAAAACTGGATCAACATAGTCAAAGAAAAAAGAAATCTTTATCAACAATATCAAGAAGAATTCAAGGAAGTTCCAAAAGAATCTTATCAACAAATTATAGAAGCTGCAGAAAGAGATAACGAGCGCAATAGAGGAGAACTTACTACACAAGAACAACTTGACATGGCAAATATGATGATATATATGTATTTTCACAAACATAATTTAACTATTGATGATTACTTCCAAGAATTTGCAATCTATGCAGCTGAATTAGTTTACATATACTCTAAAGAAATGACTACTACACCAGATCCCGAAAATCCTAATGGATATCAAATAATTTTCGATAAAAATTTCATTGAAGCAGATGTTTATTGGTCTTTTGAAGCAGAACTTAAAGTTCTTGCTCCACTCTGTGATCAACGTGATAATAGAAACGTTATTAACGCCTTTACAGACAAAATTTATCAATCTGTTACAGACAAAGCTTCAGGAGTAGCATTAGAGAGAATTAAAGACCTTGAAATGGATGTCGGCTCTTATTTCTTGAAAATTTGGATAAGAAATCTTTTTGGCAATATCTTCGAGAATCCAGAGGAAGTTTATACCTTTATTTTTGCTAGCTTCCCTAAGACAGACTTTATTTCAAACCTCGCATGGATTTGCTTCCACGAAGGTTTATTTCACCCAGATGTTGAAAAAAATATTCGTGAAATACTCCTTAAGAGCAAATTCGATCCATTGCTACTTAGAAGAGCATTTAAGAAGACAATGCCAAATCAATACGGAAATATAAGCAAAGATTTGGGAGCATTTTTGTCTTCTATCACTGAAAGTATTGAAACACAATACAGAGAAGTCATTGTTAAGAATTTGAAAGCACTTAACAACGCAATTCTTTCATTTAGCGGACTTGGTAAGAGAAACTAATTTTAATAGAGAGTTATTCATGTTTAATTTGTAATAAAACATATTTTGTATGTAGAAATCTAAATATCTATCTTATTAGTAATTTTATATATTTCAGTTTTTTCGTGATTCCATTGTTTGACTGGGATACCATAATGGTGCTTTCGAGGCACATATTAAATAAATATTCCAAACTTATGAATGTATTCATTAAAACAAATTTAAAAATGAATCCGTTTATGCCCAGAATTTGACTTAAAAATTGAATATATGGCGGACAAAATAATAAACAAATATTGTAAATCATATTCGTTGAAGCTGAATTTTAGGGATTCGCGCTCTGTTTATACAAAATCTTTAAACAAAATCCTCATACATCATACATTTATTATCTTTTGATTAAATTTGTTCGGTATTTCGCTGTTTCAGATTAATAAATTAAATTTACATAGAGTATCTAGTTTAATGATATACAATCTGATGAAAATTTACAGTTTCCAAAATTTTCAGCAAAAAAGTGATAAAAATGAGCAAACAGAGCCGTAGATATTCATCAATGAGCCAATCAACACATTCCTTAACAGAAGGTGCAAAGCCTAACAAAAAGGAGATGCAGAATCGTTTCCACGAAGCTGCAAAGAATGGTAATATCGAAGAACTCGCCAGAATGATTGGCCTTGGTGTCAATGTTGATAGCACTGTCGAAGACAAATCAACTGCACTTCATTTCGCCGCATATGAAAACCAAATTGAAACAATCCGTTATCTTATTGATATGAATGCATCCGTAAATGCTAAAAATGAACGCGGACTTACACCACTACACATTGCTGCTAGCGAAGGAAATGATTTAGCTGTTTGTGTTCTTATTGAATCCGGAGCAAATCCAAACACGAGAGATACTCAAGTATGCATTCGAAATTCGACTTTTCAGTCGAATGTTTTTTGAATACTAACACACAGAATGTTTTTTTTTAATTTTTAGAACTCCATTACAATACGCTGCAAGGAAAAATCAAGTTTCAACGTGCACATTCCTTTGTGAAAATGGTGCTGATATAGATACACTCGACTCTAATGGTTATTCTCCATTACATGCCGCTGCAGAAATCGGATCTTACGAAGTTATGGTAGTTCTTCTTGATCATGGCGCTAAAGTCAATATTCAGTACAAGCAAGGATGGGCTCCTCTTCATATTGCTACTAGATTTTCGAAACTTGATTGCATGGAATTACTTTACAATAATGATGCTGATGTATCAATACGCAACTCGAATGGTGTAACACCTTTGCATATCGCTGCTCAATTCGAATCTCCAGATGCTCTCAAATCTTTAATTTCCTTCGGCGCAAACTTAAATGCTTCCGATAACGATGGCGATGTTCCTCTTTTCAGTGCCATACAAAGCCAGAGAAACGAAAACGTAAAACTCGTAGTTGATGCCGGTGCTGACGTCAACGCGACAAACAAACAACAGATCAACGCTCTTATCTTTGCTTCAAAGACCGGCAACTCAGAAGCAGTTTCTTACCTCTTGGATAACGAAGCTGATCCAAATATCGTTGATATACAGAAGAACAGCGCTTTACATTACGCAACCATAAATAAGGATGCGGAAATCGTTAAGACACTTCTTGACGCTGGCGCTAATCCACTCGCTAAGAATCTTAAGGGCAGATCTGCATTTGCACTTTCTTCTCCAGAAACTCTTGACTTATACAAGCACGCAATTGCAGGTATACAACAGAGAAATCGTATGAAGTCAACTGCAGCCTCCCGTCGTGCAACTTCCGCAATTGATGAAGAGAAATCAGATAAATCTTCAGGAAGTTTACCACCTTCACCTTTGACAAGTCCCAGATCCGAAAAGAGCAAGGGATCCAATAAGGAAGAAGAAGAAACTAAAGAAAAAGAGCCAGAAAACCAGACAGAAATAATGAAACAAGAGGAAGAAGAAGAAGAACAGAAAGAAGAAGAGGAAAAGGTTGACGAAGAAGAACAGAAGAGACTGAAGGAAATAGATGAAAAGGAAGTCGGAAGACAGGCAAAGATGGAATTCGCTGAATTCAAGAATTACGTTTTCAGCGACATCGAAAGTCTGAGGGAAGAATTCGACCAACAGATTGATATGTTAACTGGAATGATAGCAAAGCTTAGACAGGATCTGTTGGAGAGTAGAAAGAGAGAAAAGGAGCTTTTGCAAAAGTCAGAGTTGCAGTGAGAAATCTTTTTATTTTTTTTAATATAAAATTTTATATAAAACATTAATCTTTTTAACATATATATACAAAAATCAAACAAAATTCATTCAATAAGACAATACACCCTAAATTATCCAAATTTGATCGATATCTTTGTTGCTGATGTATATCTATCTTTATCTACACTAAATATAAACATAGTTTGCTTGCATTTTGGCATTGCATATATTGTAATCTTGAGAAATCGGATCAAATTGTAATTCGTATTTGTAGGAAATTTGTGACAAAACTACTTTTTCGAACAGAAGTTGCAAGATGAAAGAAAGAAGTTTTTACTGTTATATGGAAATGAAATGATTCCGATCATATGTCAGATTTATTTCTGATGATACTTCAGATTGTCATTTTCTTAGCAATTGTTTACTTAATATTATTCTTTATTGTTCGTCCTCTTGCTCAAAAGAGATTTGCACCGCCTCTTACAATGAAAACTCCAACAGCAAATCCAAAATTTGATAAGAATTTCAAATTTGGAGGCTCAACATCTGCTTGGCAAGTTGAAGATATCAAAGAAAAGAGTAACTGGTCACTCTTCGAAGAAAAGAAGAAGCCAAATGGAACTCCATGCTGCCCACCACACAAACATGCATGCGAAAGCATCGAAAGGTTTGATTCTGACCTACAACTCATGAAAGATCTCAAATTTACATCCTATCGCTTCAGTGTTTCATGGACTGCTGTCAATCCAGAAAAAGGAAAATTTAATCTCGAGTATTTACAGAACTACGTTACAATGTGCAAGAAACTTAGAGAGTCTGGCATCGAACCAATGCTAACTCTATGGCATTTTGAGAATCCTGCATGGGTAGAACTCGAAGGAGGTGTGCTCGGACCTCATTTCAAAGAATACTTAACAGAGTTCACGACAAAAGTCATTGAAGCAGTTAAAGATTGCTGCACATGGTTTATTACTATTAATGAACCAGTTGTTTTCGCAAATTTAGCTTATAAAGATGGAGTTTTCCCTCCAGGAGAGAAAAGTTTGACGAAATTCTTTGCCTGCTGCTCATCATTTATGGAATGCCATGTTCAAATGTACAAAATTATCCATAATTTGATTCCAGATGCAAAAGTTTCGATTGCAAAGCATACAATACCATTCTATCCAATGCATAATTGGTCCGTTCTTGAATCCATTGTATGCAACATCTTAAATAACTTCAATACATCGATTCTTGATGCATTTGAAACCGAAATCATTAATTACAACGTCGTTGGTATTCCAATTTACAAGAAGAAGATCGAAGGACTTAAAGATACACTTGATTTCATCGGAATCAACCATTATTACTGCACTTGGGTCTCAATTAATCCGAAAGATTGGGATTCAATGGTATTTTTACCTCCACCAATGAGCCAGAATTTGAGTAATTACGACCATTCAGACTTTGGCTGGAGTTTGTGCCCAGAAAGCCTTGCAATTTCAGCAAAATGGATTCATCAGGGCTGGAACAAGCGAAATTTGCCAATTGTCATCACAGAACACGGAATTGCAGATGAAAAGGACACAAAGAGACCATGGTTCCTTGAACAAAGTCTTTCTCTTCTTAATGATACAATTAAAGAAGAAAAAGTTCCAGTTATTGGATACAGCCACTGGTCATTCCTCGATAACTATGAATGGGCTGAAGGTTACAAGATGAGATTCGGCATTGTCGAAGTCAACCATGACACACAAGAGAGAAAAATAAGAGAGAGCGCTTTACTCTACAAGAAGATTATCGAAAATTCAAAATAATGCATAGGTTCGATAAAAATTTTTAGTTTCTTATTATTAACTTCTATATAGTTTATATCGTTATGAGATCTCATGATATAACATAATAAAATCTATAGGAATTAATTCATAAAGAGTATTCAATCAAGTATTACATCTGAAAACATTTCTATCTAAATAAGATATTACAATATCAATTCAATTCCTTCAGATGCTGTTTTAGATCAGAAATATGAATTCATCCAGTAACAAGTTACCTATGAAGTTTCAAGCCCATAAACTTGAATCATTAAATTGCCATTAATAATATTAATAATACTCGTATTGCCTTGAAAAAACTATTTACACACGATCATATTCATTAGAAGGGGAACAACCTGTGCTTAGTGAAGTATTACTGCCAGTTTTCATTGAAACATACTTGACGTATCGAAATGAAATTAAAAAAGCTCATAGATAGTTTCCATAATCATAATAGTGAAATACATCATGGAAATTATATATAAGGTAAAGATTTAACCGATATAGGATGTGTTGTGAAGATTTGAATATAATACCAGATAAAGTTATTTCATTTCTATCCAATTGCAGCACAAGCTCCATAGTTGAAACTTCAGGAATAAGACCTTCTTTTAAATTTATAAAAGCAGATTCAACTATCGTATAAATAAAAATGAATACCATCTCAACCGTTTGCAGATAACAATTTTTTCTGAGAGATTCCCTGCTGGAACAATATCAGACTGATTTAATTATTAATTGAAAATACTCTTGCAATTTTTCTGAAAACCTTATTGAAAAGTAAACACCTTATAAATTTCAATTACAATAAGAAATTAATACTTCTAATAATGTAAGTATATTAAGGCGATTATGGACAAATTTTTCAGAGTGTTTCAATTTTGAAAACTCGCTCATCATCCTTGCAAAAAATGAAAAACCTATAGTGTATATCAAGAATAGGATATGAGTTAAAATCAGTCACTTTTTATGTGAGTAAGATATTTTGAGAATAGAAAATTTTTACACAATCAAATTAATGGAAATTGCAAAATTAGCTCTCTCTCCTAATTTAAGTGATAAAATAATGTTTGTAAACCAATTAGGAGAACTCACTTCTAAGTTTGACGAAGAGTTTATCAATAAACAGCTCTTACCTTTTCTGATTAACTGGTATAATTCAAATCAGATCGAAATCGGTCGAGTTTTATCAACAAAGCTCTCGTATTTAGTATTCGATGCTGTTTCAAAAGCTGCACTGACAACTCTCATTTGTGTATTGGCTCTTTCAGATGATCGTATTATTCGAACAAACATCATAAACTTCTTTTCAACACATAAAAACAAACAGCTTTTACTATCTTTGTGCGGCCGCTTATCGAAATCCAATTATGATAGTGTGAGATGCCTTGTTCCAAAACTCATTACATCTCTTACAAGTACTGAAAACCAGAAGAAGCTAGTTGAGGTATTATCTGAAGACAAATCATACTGCGTCAAAGAAACGCTAGTGAAGATGATTCCTAAATTCTCAGAAACCCTTCAATTATTTACTATCCAAAAAATGTTAAAATGCAAAGAACCAAAGCTAAGACAAATATTGGCTCTTGTTACAAAAGATACAAAACACTTTAATACAGAAGTTTTCCCAGCCCTTATCAAAGATTCAGATTGGTACGTACAGGCATCAATTTTAAAGGCAGCTGGTGAAACAAAAGATCCAGCAGGTTTGATTAAAGATATAATCGAGCAATACACTGGAAATTGGGAAATTAAGGTTAGCGTTATCAAGTCGTTAACTGCAATATTGAAAGCGTTTCCTGATACAAAGTTTGAAGAAGAAAAAGATATATATGAGCTTTTTAAGGTCGCTTTCCCTGAAATGATTGAATCTTATCTTGGTCAAGTCGTGATCAACCTTTTATTAGAATTGATCAAAAGGAAGTTCTTTGCTGCAGATTCTAATGAGTTCAGAAACATAATTTTGAGTATTTTTAACTCAAATTACCAAAATAATTGGGGATACTTCCTTAATCAGACAATTTCACGCACAGACTTCAATTTCGTTGAGTTTGTCATGGAAATTCATATCCAACTCGCCGTGAAATGTCTCCAATCCCATGATTGGCGCCAAAGAGCCAAATTGATGGAAACTTTCGAAGGAATGTACAAGAAAATCGAAACAGAAAACACACATCAATACATTATCAACCTTGCTCTATCAGCCTGCCAAGATACTACACAGCCAGTCAGAGTTGCAGCATCAAATTTCCTCGTAAAAATCGCTGAGAACAATTTCGAGGAATTATCAAAGATGTTTTCACTTTTAATCGACTCTGACAACTTCAGGAACAGACAGGTTGGATTCATGATCGCGTTGGGACTTCTTCAGAACTCTAAAAACGAAGAAATCATTAATTTCGCGAAAGTATCTGTCGAGAAACTTAAGAATGATCCACAGGAAACTGTTAGGAATATTCAATTACTTTATGATGACATGAATGGTCATTGACTTTGTTTGTAAACTATATTATTAATTTTGAGCGTAATTTTTCCATTTTTAACACAGAATAACATATGACTTCATCAAAAATAGCTCAAAACTAAACTATTAGCCTTATAAATACTATATTTCATGAAAAATCTTATGAATTATATTCAATTAGATATATGTTCCAGTTGTAATAAATGAAATCATGGCTTATATGTACATAACTCACTTGTGGTTTAATCAAAATTTTAAGATTTGATGTTTTTCATTTGATTTTTACAAAAAATTTTTCTCAGGTATCCTTATTCAAAAAATCAAAGTCGAATTTTTAGTGATTTTTAGATTCATCTATACACAAGTATATTATATCCACAATTATTTTGACCAACCAGGGTAAGGATATTGAATTTTTTTCTCTATCGGCCTTGATCGTCCTTCTTTTGGTAATCGTCTTTAACACAAAATCAATCTAGGGATGTCGACGAATTCTCACATCGAGATGATCAATAAAATGAAGGCCGGTATCGAACATCAGGCCAGAACCAATGCAGATTCAATGCGTGAGCAAGCTATTCACGAAGCTGAGCGTTATCACGCAAAAAATGTTTACCAAGCTATCAGTAAAATTGATGCTGATAATCAATTAGTTGAAAAGAACATTCGTGCTCAGAAAGCCGTTCAGCTTTCTGTTGTCAACGGCCAACAAAGAAAGAAATTACTCAACTGCCGTCAAGAAGCCATCGATAAAGCTCTTCTTAAGGCTGAAAATAAGCTCAAAGAATACGTCAAAACATCCAAATATGATGAAACACTCTACAAGCTCTGCCTTGAGGGTCTTATCGCTTTATCTGATCCTGAAGTTCAACTTGCTGTCAGATCTGCTGATGCTGAGAAGGTCAAGGGATTCATTCCAAGACTTGCTGATGAATTTAAAGAAAAATCACAGAAGGAAGTCGTTCTTTCATTAGCTGAATACGTTGTTGATGACTCTTGCATTGGTGGTGTTGTTCTTATTTCTCATGAAGGTACTATTCAGATGTCAAATACATTAAAGGATCGCCTTCACCTCGCTTGCACAGACTTATATCCAAAGATCCGTAAGATCCTTGTAGATTAAATTTCAATGTCAATACAAGTATCCTCTTTATCGAATAAATTTGATTAACTTTCTAATTAACTTTCAACATTTTTTCATAAATTTTTCAAAATCTTCAAAAAAGAAACATGAAATATATTCCAATTGATATACAACAATCTAATATTTTATAGACTTATGCATTTTTAAGATAGTTTTATGTTATTTGGATTTGGCTTGATCTTTTATTGTACCAATGAGGATAAGAAGCTGATATTTGAACCAGCTATATCAATATTTATTTGATGTCTTCTTTAACAATTGCATTTCTTCAAACAATAATATACTTTCTTTATTTTCTCTATACAAACTCCAAATGATACTGAAACGTGATGTGAAAAGATGGAAACACATTAAAAACCCAATGTTTCTATGCATACCCAACATATAACATATATTGAATCAAAATATTTATTCATTATTCCTATTAATATCATTTACACTTAAAGATAGCATTCTTATGCAAAATTTAGATGGATGTAAAAAAAATATCGAATATTTTTATACCAAATAAAAAAAAATATTTTAAGGTGCTGCAAGCGCTTTCAAAGAAGCGATTTGTCCAGACAGTTCCTTATGTACTGATACACCCTCGATAATCTTCAACAAGACCTCCTTTGGGCAGGTAAGTCCACCGTGCAAGAATCTTCCTGTCAAATGGGACGCGCAAGTCAAGTTCTTGCAAGCAGTTACGAGCACAATTGCACCGAATGGGTTACAGATGTATTTCGTGGCTATGCCATCGATTATATCTGTTGGTAGTGCTACACCGCTCTTTGCCATTCCAGCCGCAGCAACAAACGCAGCATTTCTCAGTGATTTGTCTGTGGAACCAATCAAAAATCTGATTGTGTCAATTGGAATTTCCTGGACTTTGTTCATTCCTACGATTGCTCTGAGTGCAGACATTATAACCATGTTGTCTTGTCCCTGCAAACACTTCACAGCGACTTGGAACACAGCATTAACTTTATCTGCAGGACATCCTTTTCTTCCAATGACTTCGAAGGCGAGTTTGAGTTCGTCTTGTTCAATAGGAAGAGCCAATACTTGATGGGCAGCTCCGTTCTTGCAAACAGCAACAATCAAACATTCATCGACAACTTCATCACCTGTAGGAATCAATGACAAAATCTTGGAAACTTGTTCAGGTTGTATATCGTCTAAAGTTCTCAATTTTTTGGCCGCATCGACACCTCGACTTGTAAACAGGAAAGTTAAGAGTCCGCGGACGAACCAAGCACCGCCACGGCAACCGCGCTCGTTCAGAACAATCCAGCAGGACTCAACTTGGTCGGGTGGAATTCCATCGGTTTCTATCGTTTCGACAAAAGTGGAAAAGTGCTCCAAACGGTTTGGATCATCGGACATTAATGACATACATGACTGGAGTGTTTCTGTTGCTTGTTGCTGAGCTTCCTCGTTATCCTGGACTTGTTGTTCTTTGACGTATTTCATGAAGATATCCATGTTGCAGCCTGGAAGAGAGATTTTGCCGCTTCGGAATTTCCTCACGATCTCAGCAAAGTTTGGACGCATTGTGGGATTCCTTGCCCAGCACTGTTTCATCAAATCTTCAAATGCCGGTGGAGTATCTTTCGGAATATGTGGCCTGAGATCGTTCATCATGACTTGCGCGACAATCTGCATCGGTTCCATGCCATGATATGGTATCTCTTTCACTAACGCTTCCCACATAACAATGGCAAATGCGTAAACATCAACTTTTGTGTCGTATTGGGCACCGGGAGTTTGCGGTCCGTTGTTCGCTAGTAGTTCTGGAGCCATCCAATGTGGTGTACCGACGTTCATTGTCATGAGTTGATTGGAATCCATCTGTTTGGAGAAACCGAAATCGCTGAGCTTGGCGCGCTTCTTGTCGTCAATAAGGACGTTCAACGTTTTGAGGTCTCTGTGGATGATATTCTGCGCATGAAGGAATTTCATTCCTCTTGCAACGTCGTAAAGGGCTATTGTAAGGTCTGTTGGGTCAAGCGAATGGCGCTGATGGAGATCGTAGTAGAGAGTTCCGCCAGGCATAAATTGAGTAACAACACAAAATGGATGAGTATCTGTAGCACCAATGAATTTGAGGATCGTAGGGTGGACAGCTGTAGCTAAGATTGAGAGTTCGCGCTGAAATGCTTGTAGTTGTGGTCCTGTGAGCTTTTCGTATTTTAATTTCTTAATCGCAACTAATTCGTTCGTTGGAGTATAGTATCCGCTGTAAACAACGGCTGATACACCCGAGCCAATCTCTTTTTCGTACAAAAGATCTGAATGTTTAACTCTCCAGTTCTGATAATTCAAAGGAATTGGAGAGAAGACGGCTAAACCAGAAGTAGCAGCTTCGGTTTGGCTGTATTGGTTGAGAAATGCATTGATTGATTGAAGACGAGTATTTACGAATTCGATAACTGTTGGATCTTGATTTGGCGTAATTAAAAATTGCTGGAATGATGTTTCTATGGCACGTAAATCTAAAATGTGGAGTTGAATCCATTGAGATGACGTTGAATTGAAGAATTGTGAACCATCTGGATCAAGAACTACTGTTTTTTCTGCTAAACTTGATGTGAGGGTACATAATTCGGATGGGACACTGGAGGACTGATTTTCTAATGCTGTTTGCGCCCATGACTGTAAAGTATTTTGCTTAAATAATTCGATATAAGTTTTATAAGCGTCAGAAACAACGAAACGATATGCATCATACTGATCACGAGTCATCATCGTTTTGTTGGCAACTGTCATGAAATGATCTGTAAATTGTCTAAATTGGGATACGGCAAGCTTGAATTTTCTTCGATGAGCGACAGCTTGCTGAACGGCATTTTCTATTGTAGAACAGACAAAACGAAATTGAGCAGCTGCTGCTTCAAGTGTCGGCTGCTGCATCAATTTTTTTTTATTCGCTGATTTGAATTCCTTCGCAATGAAATTTTATCAATTCTAACTTAGATAGAAGGCATATTAAAGCACTCGGCTATTTTTAAACTATTTATTTTTTTAGGGACTTTTCATTCAATTCATCATTTCACATCCTTTGTATGCGGTGACAGCGGTAGAGAATTGACTTAGAATAAGTCTCTTAAAGATCGTTTATTTGACACATGATACTGGACATAATCTGGTATTAGTTTAGTTCAAGATTCTTGGATAAAAATATGGGGGATATTTTTGGGATAACATTGAACTTTCGCATTATCACATTTCAATTTCTTATATCATGTATATGAATGTTCATTTAATTTTATCGTGAAATAGACGAGTCTATTCAAAAGCATATCATATTCAGGTGGATTGCCAAAATAAGATTATATAATTATATCATAGTTGGTGATAACATATTTTTGGATCAAAATATGCAAATATATTCTATAAATCTGATAGAAATGAAATTGGATTTGGAATTAAGATAAATCAATATGAAGAAATCTTTTGTTTACTTATAAACATTTTATTGTTGCTATAAATTTGCTATTTCGACCCATATCATTGAATCGAAAAAGTGGAAAATGTAAATCTAATTTGCCAATTTACATGGATTTTTTGCCAGACAAAGGTTTTAAAATTTGGCAGATAGCAAAAATTTAACCAATTTTGTTGAACTTTTAGGCTGATCAAAAAAATTTTTATGCTGGCATATGCTGTCTTGAGTAGTATAGTGGTCCTACTGTGCGAATTTACAATTTTAATTAAGGTCGATCAAACCAATTTTTTCAAAACTTTCCTATGACCATTTTTGGAAATTAATTATACTCACCAATACTCGCATTGATACACGATATATGAATAAAACCTTCCCTCTTCAAATTTGCTATCAAAATTTCTTCTTTGATGAACTTTGTATAAAACATATAGCATATTTAAATAAATAAGTTTTTATAGGTTTCAGAACTTATTGAATTTTTGGTCCTTTTCAAATAAATCTATTCAAATTTATGTGCGCCATGAAAAAACGCTTTATTATACCATTCCGATATCTATTTAAAATAAAATTTGAGATGACCACTATGACGTAAAACTAAATAATAGTCTGAATATTTCAATTTAAAAATGCGCGTCCTTGGAAATCTTACTCTGACAAATCTAGCAATTTCCAAGTATTATGGAGAAAGCGCATTTTTGCGTCCTCCTAACAATGACAAGCTATCATTCGTTACAATCTCCAATTCAAAGTTTTCATATTTCACAGCTAATTTGTATGCATCATTCACGAAAAGGACACAACTAGATGTATATAAATCACAATTCAAACGTTTTACCGAAACTCCTGTTTATCTAAACGCAGATTATCCAAATCAACCCACTGACTTTCATAATTATGGCATCCGAAACACCAGCATTGCAACTTTCTACTATAGCGCTTTCGTTGGTTGCCAGAGTAATAGTGCCGGCAATACATGGAATGACAAATCTGGTGGCGCCGTTTATTTCAACTCTGCTTCATCGTCCGCTTCGTTCACACACTGCTCCTTCCAATCATGTTACTCAGCGCAGTACTGCGGCTCTCTATTCGTTAACGCCGCCAATGTCATATTTAATTACAACTGTATCAACAATTCCAAGGCCACCATTGGCGGATCTACATTCTATTTCACACCAAACTCAGATCTGTCACTTGTCGGTAACTCCATTCTCAACTGTTCAAAACACATCACAAACATTATTCGTTTTTCTACATCGCATCCATTGACATTAACTAACTGCAACGTATCCAAATATGTTACATCAGGACAGTCCTCTGGCTTTGAGGTCTACAATTGCGCAGGAAACAACTTCAACATGGCCTACAACTCATTTGACACAAACACAGGAAGATCCATAATAAACATTGCATTTTCAACAGACAATGTCATCAGAAACTGTGACTTTCTTAATAACCAAGGCATCGGAACAGCTGTTATTTTGTATCTTGCTCCTTCATCAACATCAGCATTAACAATAGATAACTGTTATTTCAGTGGAAACAGTGGAACACAGTCTGTTTCTAACCAAGGAACAATTACAACAACAAATGAAAGAACATCAGAGAACAAAACAATTGTTTCTTCATTCTGCCACTATGGATTCACATTCACTCCACATGTTACACCATTAAATACTCCATTCACAACTGCTGTTGAAACACCAGTTCTCACTCCATTTGTAACTGCTGTTCAAACTCCTTATGAAACTGTTTTCCAGACACAGCAACAAACTGCTTTCGAAACACCATTTATCACAAATGAAGAAACACCTTTCATTACAGTGTTTGAAACTCCTTTCATCACTGCTCATGAAACTCCATTTAACACTGCACATGAAACAGTTTTCCAGACTGCATTTGAAACACCATTTATCACAGAACATGAAACACCATTTAACACTGCAGTCGAAACACCATTTGTTACAGAACAACAAACACCATTTAATACTGCATATCAAACACCTTTGGGAACAGTTTTTGAGACACCATTTAATACTGCAGTTGAAACACCATTTGACACTGTTTCTGAAACAGCTTTCCAGACAATGTTTGAGACACCTTTCTCCACACAAGATTTCACAAAGTTTGAAACACCATATGAAACAGCTTTCATCACAGCATTTGAAACTCCTTTCCAAACAGAATCAGAAACACCATTAGAAACAGTTGTTGAAACACCATTTGGAACTGAATCAGAAACACCATTAGAAACAGTTGTTGAAACACCATTTGGAACTGAATCAGAAACACCATATGAAACAGCTTCATTTACTCCTTATGAAACAGCAGTTGAAACACCATTCAACTCTCCATTCTTAACAGAACAACAAACTGCTTTTGAAACACCTTTCTTGACTGAATCAGAAACACCATTAGAAACAGTCATTGAAACACCATTCTTAACAGAACAACAAACTCCATTTGAAACTCCATATTTAACTGAATCAGAAACATTAGTTGAAACTGCTTTCGAAACACCTTTCTCCACTGCAATCCAAACAGAATCAGAAACTCCATTTATCACTGAACAAGAAACACCTTTAGAAACTGTCATTGAAACTCCTTATGAAACAGTTAAAGAAACAGCTTCTGAAACACCAGTAGAAACTGTTGTAGAAACACCATTTGGAACTGCTTTTGAGACTCCTTATTTAACAGAGAGTGAAACTCCATTTGGAACATTTTATGAAACAGTTTTCCAGACACCAGTTCAATCATTTGATGGAACTCCATTTTTGACTCCTTTCGTAACTGTTTATGAAACTCCCTTCTCAACAGCAATAGAAACTGTTGTAGAAACAGTCAGTGAAACACCATTTACAACACAGCAGCAAACAGCTGTTGAAACCCCATTCATTTCACCACTCCAAACTGTTGTAGAAACTCCATTTTCTTCTGCAATTTTCACTCAAAAAGAAACACCATTTGAAACAGCTTTGGAAACACCATATTTAACAGAATCAGAAACTCCATTCTCTACAGCAGTTTTCACTCAAAAAGAAACTCCATTTGAAACTGCATCAGAAACCCTCAAATTCACAGAAAGTGAGACACCATTTGGAACTCCTTTCTCTACACAAATGATTACTAATGAAATGACTCCATTTGGAACTGTTTTCGAAACTCCTTTCTTGACATTTGTTGAGACACCATTTACATCTCCTGTTATAACTGCTTTCGAAACTGTTGTTGAAACACCATTTGGAACTGCTTTCGAAACATTTTATGAAACTCCATTCCTTTCTCCAGAGAAAACAGCTGTTGAAACAGTTGTTGAAACTCCTTCTTCAACTCCATTCAACACTTTCTATGAAACAGTTTCATCAACAATTCATGAAACAACAATTGTTTCTCCAGCAACAACTCCACTTTCTACTCCTTCTGCAGTTATTGTTTCACCAGAAAATGGAGCAAATAACTCTGCAGTATCTTCTACATTTGGAAATGTTGAATCAACAACCTCGAAGAAGAGTGGCATCAACATTGGAATAATTATTGGATGTGTCTTAGCTGCAATTATTATTATTTCTTTGATTGTTGTTTTCTTTGTAATGAGAAGAAACAATAAGAAGAATGGAAGTGAAGAAGAATCTCTTTCTAGTTCTATTGACCATGCAAAGGAAGAAACAGTAATTTCTACTGTAGATACATTGACTCCAACAATGGAAGAAGATGATTTCGACGATGAAGAAGATCAGTGAGGAATGTTTACAACAATTGTAAATGATGGTGACTTTTTAGGAAATTCTGATGATCCATTTAATGCCAATGAAGAAGATTTCAACTCAAACCTTGAATCAAATGTTATTTTCTTGTAAAATTATATAGATATTTTGTATGTAATATATTATGTAGAATATCTCCTTTCTTAATAAAAAGAGAATTATATATTTCTATCTTAATCAGTTTTCTTTTTCTTTTTACTTTGCATTTCCTATTAAGAATTAAATAATGAATGCAACCATTTTAGTTTTTCGAAGACTTTTGTTGAATTAGCTGCTGAATTTTCATTGAAGACAAACAACATCTTCCACTCAGAACAAATGTAATCTCAATCAAAACACATTATCTTCATAAATGTTAACAAATATTTCTATCAACACATGTCTAATCATAAATAATTAAGTCTATTCATCATTTATCGTCTAATCAAATATAATTTACATTCTCATTGATAATTGTTATATAAAAATAAAATAGATTATATTTTAAATGAGACACTTAGAGTTTTTCTTATTTTAACATTGTAATAATATAGAATAGCATACAGATATATATGTAATAACGTATATATATGCTTATTTCTCTCATGTTTCGAAATGCAATGTGATATTGCACTCACTTTTTATAGAAATCTACCATACTCATTGAAATGATGACATATACGTTTGTCTATCTATCTACGTTGTAAAAACCTTCATTTGCCCTAAGTTCAAAGTTTTTCTCATTCATTGCTTTAAATTGACCAAAAAATTGAATACTTCCTTTAAATTGACCGTTCAATTTAAAGATCGTCCCATATCTTCATTCACATGCTTATAAAAAGTTATTCATTTTAAACTATACAATACAAACAATTTTTTATTTAGTTAGTGAAAAACTTTGCTGTCGATGTTGATGAAATTCAGTCGAAGTTTGTTGATCTTGTTAGTGATCTTACTCTTCAGAATAGTTCTCACAGTTGGTTCTATCCTGAAATAAGGACTGTCTGACACCAAATTCGAAACAATTTCTCTCTCCAGTTTCTTGTTTTTCATTAGAGAGTTTGTTGAAGTTTTGTGGTTTAAAGCAACAGAAGACCAGTAAGGAACGTATCCTTTGTACTTAGAATTCCTAAATATCTCTTGGTTCCTGTTTTGTCTTTCGCTGTTTTCGATTTCCACAAGAAATTCAACGAATTTGTTCAAAAATTTGTGTCCTTTTCCAAATTCTTTCAACAAACAGTCTTCATTAACAGCAAAGCACTGTTTAGAATCAATATCTGAATAGAGATTGATGAATAACTGAATGTTTCTCTCTTGAGGAACAACTTTTTGGGTCTGATTCAGCGAATTTGAGTTTGATTTCGCTTCTGGAGTTGAATTTCTTCGAATTGGAGGGGGAGTAACCGATCTCCTCTCTATTCTTATGTTGTTTTGGCTGAAGACATAAGATAATCTCGGATCAATTTTTCGAAATTTTTCTTGGAAATTTCGAATTTTTGTTTCATAATCATAATCTATGTCATTAGACTTGCTGATCTGCAAACTAAATTTCTGTTTTTCATTTTGATAGATTTGTAAACTATTCAAATTACGATAATTTCGTAAACCATTGAATTCTTGGTAATTTTCGAAATTGAAATTTTGAGATTTATCAGGCAAAGAATTCGAAAATCTCTGGGTTCTCGATTGTATCTTAGTTCTAGGACTACTTTCTGCACTGTGTTTTTCATCAGGAGCCCTAATAAAGTTGTATTCTGATGAGATTTCGATGATTGGACTTTCCAAATCACTTGAATTCATCGAATTCGATGCCATTAGTCTTCTTGGTGCTTTGGACGTGATGAATTGTGGCTCCGTTGGCGTCTTTTCCTCTTCAAAAGGTAGAATTATACTCAATGGAGAGTCTAAAATTATGTCGTCGCAGCTGAAGTTGATTTCCTTCGAGTTCGCGAGCTTTATATGTGTATCTGATGTGGAAAATCTCCTCGATCTCTTGTAAATCGACTGTCTAGGACTCAAAATGTTTTCTGTTGAACTTGAAAAGCAAGAACTAGACAAAGACAACCTTGAACTCGATGCAGAGGACTCAGAAGATGTCAGTATCGATGAACTAAATTCAGATGCTGACATAGAAGGTCGAATTATGTTTCGATTTCTCAGTTTTGAGTCAATTCTACGCGAGGATTGGTTTCTTAACATGGAATTCGGTTTCTCTTGTTGGAGAGACGAATTATTTCCGTGTTTTTTGACAACAGAAATTGAAGATTTCGAAATTTGAGAAGAATTTTCGAATTTTTTCTTAGTTGCGAAGGAAGACTTAGGGTTTTTCTTTCTTCTTGGTCTATTCTGCTGTTCTGAGTCCTCTTCGTTGATGCATTTCACTGGTTTGTACTCAATTTTCGAATTTTTTTTTGGAATTCTGATGATTTTCTCTTGATCCTTCTCATCATCAGAGAATAGGTTGTCTACATTCAAATTCTCTTCCATTTCTTCTTCGTGTTTGTCTTTTTCTGGTGATTTTTCCCTTTTTTCACGACTTTTTCTCTTTTTTCTTCTTTCCAGTTTCTTTTCTGCTTCTAATCCTGATTGGATGATCTCCAGTGTTGATAACACTCTCTTCTGTTTCTTATTTCTTGGATTTACAACTGAATTTTGAGGTTTTTCTTCAATAATTTTTTCATTTTTCTTCGGATTTTTGTTATTTTCTTCATTTCCTTCTTTTATGATATCAGCAATTTGTTTTGTTGACGCATTATTAGTCATTACCGACATTTCAGTTAAAATCGTCGCTCTTTGGTTTTCATCAAGAATTATTTTCGGTTTTACCTTGGATTCTGACTTTTCTTCTTCATTATTTTCTTCCTCTTGGCTCTGTACAACATTGTTCTGCGTTTTCCTTAAGCTTCTCATGCTCTGGTTCAGAGTTGACCTGATAATCATTTCTTCCTCGCTTTGTTCGTTCAATTCGTTACTGTTATCGATTTCTGAGTAAATGTTTTCATAGTATTTACTGTCAAAAACTTTGTATCCGGGAATTTTCATGATTTCTAAGTCAGTTCCGACCAAAATATCCAAATTACTGCTGATAAACTCACAGGAATAGATTGGAGTTGGAAGGTTTATGGTGGAAATGACGTTATTGTTGTAATCCCAAATATTTATGTTATGATCAAGGGAAGAAGACATCCAAACGTTAAATGAGAAGGCGAAATCAGTTACTTCGGATGAATGAGGTATTGTTATGTCATCATCTGATGGCAAAACTAAGTTCCCGTCGTTTTCAATTTTTATCCAAAGAATTTGACCATTTTTATAGCCAATGTACACTGTATCATCAAACAATGCATTGACATTAGTACATTTAACGCTCTTTCTGCATTCAATTGACCATCTTTCGACGTCAAATGAAATAATATCCTTTTCGTACAGTACAATGACTTTATTTGAGTGGATATGATAGTGAACACTTATGATTCTGCCTTTTACAGGGTAGAATCTCACTTTCTGCTCAAAAGTCATGTAATCCATGATGATAATTTCATCTTGTTTCGAAATTAGAACGAAATCCCAGCCATTCTTGTAGTATACGTACGATATAGACTTGACTCCCATCCTCTTTTCGAACATTTGCTCTCCAATTTGGTCATCTGTTTTAAAAATCACCAAAGAACCGTCTTCTAATATGACAAAGATCTGGTCAATGTAATCCTGGTTCGATATATCAATAAATTTAAGAGTATAATTGTTAAAATCATGGTTATAATGGTAATCAACGATTAATCCACGGTCGTAAAGGGAATAAACAGGTAAACTGAGTGAAGAAGGACATGCTGCTGATAATTGTTTACCGTTATTGGCAGAATAGAGTTTAATAAATGAATTTCCGGAAGAAATTAAAATTCTTGGTGGAAAATCTAATTTAAAACTCCTGGAAATGGTGTTTGCTGTTGGTATATTCAATGCAAAGGAGTTCCATGGCAACAAAACGTCTAAAATTTGAAGTTCAAGCTCATATGAAATTGCAAGTTTGAAATTCTCTTCAGTTTTGAGTACAAACATATTATTTGGCATCTTCTGGGTTATGTATACATTAAATGATCGCCCTGTGACAATATTACATAGAGAAATCGCTCCATAAGAATCCAAATAAATTAAATTTTGTTTGTCAAGGAAAGAAACGGAAACTACTGATGTATTTAATGTCCTTAGTCTTTTGATGACTGTAGAATTGCCATCCCAGATGCACAGACCGTTCTGTGGGTCACTTGTCGCAATTTTTGTTTTATAAATGATACAATCTTCTTGTTGGTCTGACTTTTTGTGTGAAACGGTTTTTATCATCGTAAAACATGTCAATCTTTCAATCATCGATTTATCTTTGATGATATTTTGAAATAAATACGGCCTGGACTTAGTTACTTGGCATACTTGGTGTCCGTACATGTCATATGCGCATAATCCACGCTCTGTTGGAATAATTACCCATTCATTTTCGTAATCAAATGCGGGTTTGTTTTTTATTGAAGCGTTTAAGCCGTTTGCGAATTGGGAAACGAAAGTAAGTGTCATTTCAGGTGGTATAGATGTACTGTTATTGCTCCATTTTGTAGAGTTAATGATATAAACTTTGATTCCGAAGCCAATACTAAATAAAAGATGAGATTTTGGGGAATATACTAGATGGAAAACGATTGTTTGCTTTGGATCTGTCTGTTTTAAGACAAATCTCTTTGGATCGGGTGCAAAAATTTCAAATCCAAACAAGCTTGATGAGTTCTGTAAAAAACCAATGACAACATCGATCTCAGGAATGATAACTGAAGTTGTACATTTGAATGGATAGACTTTAATTATCTCTTTTTTGTTGAATCTATAAATATATTTCGATGTTGTCGCAAGATACTGTCCATTTGATAGATAATGGACAACGTGGGTCTTAATGCGGCCGATCTGAGGTTCGAAATCATCAAAAATTCCGAACCTCACTCTCTGCCTTTCCATAGAGAGCTCAAAATATCCAAAATAAAGGAAGAGATACATTGAGATATAGTACAGAATATATAATCAAGCATAATAATGAGCGGATTCATTTCATTTCAAACGAATGTCAAATTAAACTCAAAAGCGTATTTTCCTTATCTAGAAAGCAGATTTTAATCAAAATTTTCTGTACAACTCAAACACTCAGTAAATGCACACATTCCTAAATAATCTGATGGCGATCTACGATCATTAAGAAATAAAGGGTTATCGGGCAGAAATAGTTCATAATTATATGAGTATTAGTATGATTATTAATGTAGTCTTATATTATAAAGTGTTTTTTGTTGATGATATTATTTTCAACATGATTTTCAAATCGATTTGCTATTCGTAGATAGTATGGCGTTAACTAAATTCATAAAAGAATAGATGCCGCAGTAAAATGTGTAAATGTGTAACTTTTCCCAGATTAATAATGTATTAAAGAAAAGAAGTAGTATTTTTGGTGTTATGATTTGATTTTTTAGTAGTTTATTGGCTGGAAGTACTGCATGAACTCATCATCGAGCTTTGAGAAGTCGTCCAAGTCAACTGCCTGCGAAATTGGTTCTAAGAATTGGAGCCAGACATCTCCAGCATAGTTTGCAGAGTGGTCCATAATAGGCTTAGGGCATTCACTTGGAATTGGCGAGCTTGCACTTTCATCTTTGATTCTATTTTCTTTCTTGCGATGTCTTTCTAATTTGAGCCAGCGGTTTTTAACATTAATGTCAGTCCTATTAGGGAAGAAATCAGCTATTGCTTTCCAGCGAGATCCAAGTATCTCTCGTTTTAATAATAAAAGTTCATCTTCTTCTGCAGTCCATGGAGCATTATTAACAGAAGGACATAAATAATTCATGTATCTTTCACGGCATTGTCTAGTGCTACGACCTTTGATTTTGGAGGCAATTAAAGCCCAGTTTTGATCTCCGTGCTTTTGAACGAGTTCTAAAATTTGTTGATCTTCAGTTGCTGTAAATTTAGACTTAGAATGAGTCTTTTGATTACACGGCTCTAGGAGCTGGCCATAATCTTGGGCGTAATTCATTTTTTATCCCAGATAAAATGGAGTAGGGGTAATTTTAGCTAAAAGTGACACGCCTGTAAAAAATGACACACCCATGAAGGGTGTGATTACCGATCGGTAATTTCGACAGTTTAGAATTTAAAATTTTTTATGGAACTGTTGCGAGTTTCATAAAGAATTTAAGGAATATAAGCAAAGATTTGAATCAAAATCTTAGACCTAAGCCGCTCGATTCGCTCGCGGCTTCCGCGAATTACAGATCAGCAAAGATTTGAATCAAAATCTTCGAACTAAGCCGATCGCTTTGCTCGCGGCTTTCTTTATTATTTTAAATTTGCATATTTCCATCAAAAGTTCATAAGGTAAAAAAATTCGTTTATATTATTGCAAAATAAAATCTTCATTATCAAAATAATATTAAATGATAATATAATATAATTTATAAACAACTATTATTTAATAAAGTTTAATTGCCAAGGTTCATCTAATTTTTTGATTTTTAATGTTTTATGAATTTTATTTAGAGGGGGGCACAAACTTGCCCAGTGAGGTGAAGTGAAAAGTGACAGGTTTACATGTCAGAAATGTAAAGCGTCAGATTTGAAACAAAAAATGGATTAATTTATTATTATATGATAGAGAGATTTGGTAAGTTACTATCAAATTTGTAAGTAAGGGGAAAAAAAGTAAGAAAGAAAAAAATTTTAAAAATAAAAAGCCACTCGCTTCGCTCGCGGTTGACAAAAAGAACAAATTCGAAAAATAATTGTATGAAATTACGAAACTAAGCCACTCGCTTCGCTCGCGGCTTAAGAAAAGAACAGATTCGAAAAAAGGTTGTATGAAATTACGAAACTAAGCCCCTCGCTTCGCTCGCGGCTGACGAAAAGAACAGATTTGAAAAAAGATTGTACGAAACTACGAAACTAAGCCGCGAGCGAAGCGAGCGGCTTAAGTAAACAACATATTTCAGATTATCAATACTAAAAATTTTTTTATTTTATTACATTTTTTTTTGCATTTTTTTAAGGGTGCACACGAGAGGATCATGTAAACTTCAGAATTCAGAACCTTATTTTTAGGCATTATCTTGGCTACCTATTTCGGCTCGAAAAGCAAAAAATATCAAAAAATACAACTTGACTCCATTATGACCCTTTCATGGAGGTAGTTTTTATCCGCTAGTATTTTCCCTTTGAATCTCTTTACAATTCGAAATCAAATTCAAACCTCAGTAGAAGAAAGGAAGAATCGACTTACTACGGTTGTAATACGAATAAATACATATATTTAATTATTTTTATTTACATAATAATTGTTTGAAGCTCATATTCCAACAAATTTTTAAATAAAAACATTAAAATGTTGAAAATGTTCATATATTTTAATAGGGTTTTGGCACTTTATTGAGGAATTACTACATACATAGTCGAACTGAACTTGATATTTTGAAATTTAAATTATTTATCAAAATTAAAATTTAACTTGAAATTTATAATTATTTAGTCATATTTTGCATAATTCTAAGTAGATTTTGTAAAAAATCAAGAAAGAAAAATTTTAACGTGCTTTATTTTTTCTTTTTTATAATAAAAAAAAAAAAAAAAAAAAGGTAGTGGGGCTTCCAGGCACTTCGTGCCTTCTAGCCCTGAGGATGAATGAGTATAATGAAGTTTTTTTTTCTTGGGGGATGGCTTCCAGGCACTTCGTGCCTTCTAGCCCCCGAAGATGTTTAGTATAAATGAAGTTTTTATTCGGAGGGCTTCCAGGCGCGTTACGCCCTGAAGATGTTTAGTATAAATGAAGTTTTTATTCGGAAAATTGTTAGTCTTCTTGGTCGAAAACATTATATAATGTTTCACTTTTCACAAATTATATATGTTTTCATGTTTTGTCACTTTTCTGTCACTTTTCAGGGAAAAACATTTTTATTATTATATATAAATGAATTTTACAAAACCACCGTTACCGTTCTTTGGAAATAAGAGTAAATGTAAAGATATTATATTGAGAGAACTTAAGAAACTACCGAATGGTCTAACATTTGTAGATTTGTTCGGTGGAAGTTTCTATATATCTCATTTGTGCCATACTGTATTTCCTGACTCAAAGATTATATGCAATGACTTCGACAACTATATGAACCGTCTCAAACATATACCAGACACAAACAAAATATTGAAAGAGTTAAAAGAAAAGATACCTATAGGTAAGATGGAACGTATACCATTAGATAAGAAAAATACTGTCAGAGAGGTTTTGAAAAAAGCAGAGTATATTGACTGGGATAGTATATCTTCTAGACTATTATATAGTGGTGCTATAAGAGTTCATGACATTGAAACACTTATGTCAAAAGTTTTATATCTTAACTATACAAATGTTTTCAAAGAGGACATAGAAAAATATATTGAGGGTATAGAGTTTGTAAGATGTCATTGGACAGAGTTGTATGAAAAATATAAAGACAAGGAAAATATTTTCTTTATAGTGGACCCGCCGTTCTATAACACATGGGATTTTCAATACCAAGTAGACTGGACTTTGAGAGACTCTTTAGAAACTTTAGACGTTATACATAACCATCCATGCTTTTACTTTACATCCGATAAAAGTGGTTTGGAAACCGTTATGAGATGGTTAGAGGACATACATGACTATGAGTTTAGATATGACAAGATAGAATATGAGAGAGGTCCTATAAACCGGAGAAAGTGTCATAACAAAGAAATTTTACTAGTAAGTAAATGTGGTTTGAAATAGGACTACTTGTTTTAGGTTTTTTCCATTGTGTCATTTATTTATTTGACGTGGCAGAAAAGTACAGAGAATATGAAGATGAACCAATGCCTGCAAATGTTCAGTATATGTACTCGTAAGAGATATTTTTATCTAATATTAAATGGACGCACAGAACTTAGCAAATGCACAGCAACCTGGACAACCAAACCCAGAGAATATTCCAAATGAAGTTAGAATACAAACTGCAATGGCAAACTATGGTCAAGTGCCAACAGATGTACAAATGCAAACTGCCATGTCAAATGACGCTGCGTTAGGTTTGCCACCATGGTATGCAAATATGAGATGGAAAGAGTTTTATACAAACCCTGAAGTGGGATATAAACAACTTTATGCAGATGACGCGAACACAGGAGTTGACCCAGAATATGTTTTCTACCAGAGGAGAAACAGAATGTATGAGCTCCAGTTAAAGAATGCTATGGAACTCAACAGGAAACGTAAGAGACTAGGTGGACATTAGATTTTTACATATAGTAAAATGGGTTTCTTCAGTAGTATTGGAAACTTCTTTCGAAATGTTGGAAGAGGTATATGGAATGGAATAAAAACCGTAGGAAGAGGAATTTGGAACGGAGTCAAAAATATTGGTAAAAGAGTAGGTCAGTTTGTTGGTATTATACCTAAAGACCCTGAACCAGAAGAACAAGCTCCTGTTATACAACAGCCTGAACCTGCACCACAGTCAGTTGGCAACCAAATCCAACACCTCAACCGTATTAAAAAATTATATTTTTACCGTTCGATAGTAGTTGTATATGAAACTAAGTTCTAAGTAAAACGCATGTATAATGGAATTATTCTTTTCTTCCATCTGTAGTAAACCATACTTGAAAGTCTGAAATACTTCCACTTGGTGGTTCATATAGCTTTGTAGGTTTTTCGTAAAAGTCATTTGCCAAGCATAAAAAGAGTTTTGCACCAGAAAATGAAGCATGAACAATAATAGCATCTGAGTCGAAAAATTTTCATATGTTCCATTAGGGTTTTCGACTTCATAATAAGTCCGGGTGTACTGGATATTCTGCAGGCTGATTTAACATCCTCATAAATCTATACCATGCCAAGTTGTTATATTTTGTAGAAATATAAACGTTTTCTCCAAGGTCTTCTATTTTATTGATTTTAACAGTTGCATTTTTCCTGTCATAAATAATATCGAGATGGTATTCTCCTTCGTCAATGTTATACTGGTTTGCATATTCGATATAGATGTCGTTTATTTTTTCTTGAAAAGCTTGAAGAGTTGTTTCTAAGTTTAAGCAAACTACTTGTAAAAGTTTTCCCTGTTCAAATTTCTCATACATACGTTTTTCTTTGTTATAGTATCTAACTTCAAAACCGACTGTAAATGGGAAACCATGTATGGCTTCTGAAATGAACTTCATTCTACGAAAGCCAATAGCTTTTGTGACGGATGGGTCTCTTAACCATCTTAACGGGTAGTCAAAACGATAGCCTTCATGCTTTACGGTCTCTGTCTCAAACTTTTGACCGACATTAGTAAAAAGTTCATCTAATGGTTTAGTTGTAGCAACTCTAGAATTTTCTTTTTCTATTGAAAGCATATTTTATCTAGAATAAAAATGTCAAATGAAACAGCGTCTATGAGAGAAATACAACACAACCGACAACTCATTATACAAGCTCTAAATAAGAACACAACAAACTTTTCAAACTATTCTAAGATATCTGAGTCATTGAAAGAAGGAAACTTAAAACTGACATTAAACCCAATGACAGATGAGTTTCTGTTTCAAGACAATAAGAACCATACTGTCTGTATAAATCCAACAAAAGGAACTTTAAACGAGAAACCTATAAATGAACTTCTTTTGAAAGCAGATGTTGACAACAAAGCAGACAAAACATATGTAGACGATGCAATAGCAAAAGAAGAAGAAAGAGCTGACAAAGCTTATGCAACAAAAGAACATACTCATCCTGAACTAGCAGACAAAACATATGTTGACAATAAAATGTCAAGTGAAGTGACAAGAGCTGAAAACGAATATTCTAAAAGACTCATACACATACCATTGCAAATATTACAAACTTACAAGAAACCTTAAACAGGAAAAGTGACGTTGGACATACACATACATCTTCTGAAATAACAGACTTAAACGTTAGCCTTGAAAAGAAGGCAGATAAGAACCATACACACGATTTCTTCGCAACTGTTGGTATAGAAAATATTGCAGGAACGGTTGAAGAAC